CCACCTAGCCTGCCTGTGGCAGCCAGATTCAGGCTGACCAAAATTTGCATTATGTCATTGTTACTCAGGAACCTACATGGCTCCCTATTGCCTACAGGTTAGAGATAAAACACCTTAGCCAAACAGCAAAGATCCTTCAGAGTCTGGTACCAATGGCCTTTCTGTTGCAGCTTTTTCTCTCATGGCCTCATCTCAAACCTCAGTTCCCCCTAGAATGATTGTATTATGCTGGCCATCAATTATTATGCATTTGAAACCTATAACTTACCTTGAACTCTCCCTAAATTTCCTCAATTGCCCCTTAAACTAGGAGCCCTCTCCCCCTCTCTTCAGATGACTGACTCCAGAGCCCTCCCCCAAGGCCAAAACTGCATCTCTGTGACCTTATCGATGGGGATTCTTTTACTGTCCGTCAAAGCTGCGGGTAGAGGCTCAAGCTGATGGCTGCCCCTCACTGGCCAGCTTGGGAATCACAGCCAGGCTTCAGTTATCCTAAACTGAGAGGGAGCACTATATGGGGATAGGAATAGAAGGACGCCAGATGACAAGGATTATAAACCTTTAAGCCTCTAAGGTTCTCACACTAGGAATGGAGGGAGCTCCCTAATCCATGCGAGAACCCCTCTCCTATGAAATACAAAGATGGGGCTTCCAGGACACTGCTGAAGGGAAATTCACCCACCAGGTTATGAGGCCACAAGGCCAGGGACAGTCCAGGTGGCAGGCCCAAGGTCCAGCTGGGGTCAAGTTTCTACATGAATTTTTAATGCTTCCAGCCAGACCTGTCAGCTGTTCCGAAACCTGAGCATCCCCTTTCATCTCTGTACATGATGCCCTTCCCCATCTCCATTGCCCCTGGGGGTGGGGCAGGGAGGGCAGGCCTGGGACAGCTATCTAGAGGCCTCAAGAGAAATGATTCTGGGGAAGCAGAAGAATGAATGACTTAGTTATTCTCCCACTTGCTGTGTGACCTTAGGCAAGCTCCTTAACCTCTCTGAACATCTCTGGTATTTTATTTTATTTTTATTTTTTTCATTTGTAACCTGGGTGGCAATAGCGCCTGTCTAAATTGAGTTGTTGTAGAAAGTAAGTGCATAGCCCATGGAAAGGTGACCTACATGATTGATGCTATTATCTTTCCACAAGTCCTGCCTCCCTCCTTCTGTTTTCTTCCAGCCCCAGAGGTGCCTCTGCCTCTTTCTTTGGGAGGTGGGGACTTTGGTTGGCTCTGTCATTACCTGCTAAGATCCAAACTGCCCACCCCAAGATCCTCTGGCCTTGCTAGACACTTCCAATGAGGGAGGACAAGGAAGGGAAGCAAAGTGAGGCAAGACTGGTGGAGTGAGAGAGGAAGATGGAGCAGCTGGGGTTGGGGGGGGGGGAGCAGGCAGCAGAGAGAGGAAGAGTAAGAACCTGCTCAGGGAGAGAACTAGCTGCAGACTCATTTTGTTCCTCTTTCTCCTCCCGTCCTTCCGTCCTCCCTTCCTTCCCTCCTTCCTGGCACCTCCCGCACCCCTGGTCCTATCACAGCTGACGCAGAGATGGCCCCACAGAGCAGAGGTCAGGGGCATGGAGGAAGGGTTGGGAGTGGGGGGCTGTTGAGGGAAGCATGCCCAGTCTTTCCAGCCCACCAATTCCCTGCAAGGTGTCTCTAAAAAACAAGAGCCTCTTACATCTAACTTAGGTGGGAAGCTGCTAAAGGCAGACCCCCCCCCCAGCCCCTCAGACCTGCTGAATCAGATCTCTAAGGGGGTCCTGGAATCTGCATTTTAACACGTGGGGTGGGTTGCAAAGCACTCTAAAGGCTGAGAAACATCTCTTCAGAGGTGGGTTGTCCATGGGGCACGGGGGTGGCACAGGAAAAAGCAAAAGGAGAAAAGTTAAACACCCCAACGCACGCTTGATGGAAGTTATCGAGAATGCTCTTGCGTGGAGAGGGTGATGCCAGGGATGGGGAATAGAGGATGGAGGAGACAGATGGGGAGTGGGGGACACAGCGAACGAGACACCCAGGGTAAGCAGCCACAGAGGAAACAGACACTTGCGGGGTGCAGCCCCCTCCTTGTGGCGATCTGAGAGCATGAACTTGTGGTCGCTGCATGTGGAGACCCTGGAAGACCCCCACACCTCGTTTCTGGGGAGGAGGGTCAGGGAGAAAACCTCCCAAGCCCAGGGACCAGCGACCCACCCCCACCCCGCCACCCCCGGAGGTTCAACGCACAGATAAATGGATACACACCTGCCCGTCTCCGGCCAGTGCACTCCAGCCCTCCCCTCGGAACTGGCTCGGGTCCAGTACCAGTCTGACCTCCCTCCCTCTACCCCCAACCCCGGTCCCAGTTCATCTGCATAAAGTTCCAATTAACGCGTTTTCCCCACAGCTATTTACGATCCTTGAACACGCTCCAAATTCAGGAGCCCGCTTCCTGCCTCCCCCTCACCCCTCAGAGTACGGCCCCATTAACCCACGCGACCCCGGCCGCTCCCTTCGGCCTTGACCCCGCCAGCCTGGAGGCGCCGGGAATCCTAGGGGGTGAGGGGCGCGCCCCCGGGCGGGCGACTCCGCAGCGGGGTCTGTCGCAGGCCAGAGGCCAGGCAGGGCTCCCTGAGGAAAAGGCTGGCGCTGCCCACCCCCCTCCCTTCTGGGAAAAGATGGGGAGGGGGGCTTCTCCTGGGAGATTCGGGGCGTCGAAATTCTTGGTTCCTCATCCGCCAGCCCCCGCACCCCTCCTCCTGCCGCCACGTACCCTCTCCCCTCCCCAGCCATCTGTTCCACTCGGCGGCGCCGCGACAAACACGGCTCCAGCTCGCTTCCGCCCCTGCCCAGCCCCCTCCCCAAGCTCTCCACCCCGAGTGGGGGAGTGAGGAGACACCGACACCCTCCCCCAGGAAAGCCCAGGTTTCTGCCTGCATCGCCCACCCGGTCCCAAGTCCCAGTCGGGCGGGGGCCCGCGCCGAGATCCCCGCCTTCTGTCGCGAGGGTCGGTGGGGCTGGAGGTACCGCTTGAAAGGGTAGGGGTCGGGTAGGTCGCGGGGAGATCTCAAAGGAGAGCAGAGCAAGCAGTGTAGGGGGCTGGAAGTCGAGACCCGGGGGGTGAGCCCGACTCGTGGGTAGGGGGTATGTTCGAGGGTGTGGGGGTTCCCTTCCAGGCTCGCCGCCCCCTTTCACCCCCCTACCCGGTTCCAACCGCAACCACGCAGCGCCGCCTGCTGGGCACACCGCGCCACGCGCGCACTCGCCGGGCTTCGCTCGCCCCTCACCTCGAGAATCTGGTGGGATCGCACTTCTGTTTATCGCTCTGCCGTTCATCACTCGCGATCAACCTCCGCCAGACTTCGGAAAGTCTGTCCCGGACAGAGGGCAGAGTGAAACTGGGGCAGGCCCTCTGAGAACCCACCCAACCCAACAGTGGTGGGTGCTGTACAATTCTGATTTTGTATTTTGCGAAAAGGGCACTGTGTTGGAGGCCAGAAGACTGGGACTCAGATCGGCTATGACTTTGCCAAGTCTCCAGACCCCTCTGGACATGTTCTTTCATCTGTAAAATGGGTGGATCAATCTGTTTCATTAACTTCAAAAGAGTTTAAAAGACAAAGGAATGGCTTGGCTTTATCCATAATGCTGTCTTCTAGCGCTAAAATCTGGGGGCTTTCCAAGGTCTTTTGGGGAGGGTGGGTAAAGGCCTTTGAGGCCCCTCTCTGCTCTGAGGGCAGCTGAGAGCTAACTGAGAAACTGGGAACCTCCCCTCTGCTCCCAACTGCCCTGGGAGGCCTGTGCTTAGGGCCCAGTAGTCAAATCACCCGAGTCCCAAGTTCAGCTCCTTCACCTACGAGCTGTGTGTCCTTGGCCTTGTGCCCTAACTTCTCAGCATGATGTTAAGGACTTCTTGGACTGTAATTAGGATGAAATGAGATACCTGTGGAACACTGGCAGATCCTCAGCAAATGGTAGTGCCCCTTCCTACCCCATCCCTCCGTTCTGTGACTTACGCTAGCCTCTAAGGCTTGTGTCCCAGGGACCCAAACAGGTGTAAGAGTGGGATAAATAAGGTATATCTTCCTGGAACGTCCCTTGTCCGCAAAGATGTTGTCATCAATTACCTTGGTAAAGGTAATTTTAAAGCCTCACTTTAATATTAAAAGTAAATATAAATATAGTATAAAGTGAAACTCAAGTTTTGCATGATGTTTTCAGATAAAACAGGAGTCTATAAAAAAGTTACTTTCAACAGGCCCCCAGGGATGGTTTAGTAGGAAAGTCTGAGAGTCATCCATTCTTTCTAAAGCATCCAGCCTGTCCCCCTGTATGGAAAAAGGCCAGCCTCCCGGATATATCCCAAACCCTGGGAAATGGGGGGCAGGAGCAGAGGGCAGGCTCTGGGTACAGACACTAAGGGCAGGCCACAGCTGAGAATAGGGAGGTGAGCCAGCCAGCCAGAGGTGGACAGGCTGGCACTTCAGGCATCCTACTTAAAACCCAGCTGAGGGCCGGCCGAGGGGCGCATTGGTTAAGAGCTGGCTTGGGATGCCAGAGGGCCCCAGTTCAGATCCCACATATGAGGGCCAGTGACACTGGTGAACAACAGCTCGACCTGGAGCTGGGCTGCGATGAGTTGCCAGTGACAGCGTAGGCTGCAGTGGAGCTGCAGTGGGCTCCTGTAAGCTACTGTGAGTGGCAAGCAGACACCGTGAGCTGCCAAGAGCCACCGTGAGTGGCCGTCCAGTGGCCAGCGACGGACCTGCCTCACCCGGGAAGAGCGCAATGATAATACCAACATGGGCCAGTGAAGCGACGTCCTCCACAACTAGAATGAAGAACAAAAGGACAGCAACTTTTCTGTTCCCCTTCCCCGATTCCCCAACACTATTCCCCTCCCTGAATTCCCCCACAATTCCCCAATAAAAAAAAATCTATAAAAAAACCCCAGCTGAGCCTGGGTGAGGAAGAGGAGTGGGGGTGTGGGAAGACTCTCCACCCCCCAAAACACAGCACACACCAGCCAGTCTCTCGCTTCCCTTTTTATTTCCTCTAAGATCTGCAAGAAGCAGCACTAGGGAGGGAACCCGCCCTCCGGCCCCCCAGAAGGGGCTTGCCCCCCACACCCCATCCAGAACACAGCCAGCACCTCATGCCCCTTTCCTCTGAGGAGAAAGTTGTTTCACACACACACACACACACACACACACACACACACACACATGCATGCACATATGTGCCTGCACACACACACATATGCACACTCTGGGCATTGCACAGGGACCTTAGGGGTAGCCTGTTTGCAGATCCCATAAGCCCCCAGGAGGCAGGCCCCTAGAAGAAGTCCAGAGAAAGGGCAGCCCCACACCCTGGTCTCCAATCTGAGGAGAAAGAGGCCCCATCCTTCTAGCACAGGGGCTGTCTCCAGTCAAGGGCGCATTGCTCTAGGGGATATTTTTTAGGGTGTATTTTTTCCCTTTTAGCAAGTCCCTACAAAAATAGAACTTCTCTTGGTATTTATAAATCCACAGCCCCTGGTTCTGTCTGTGTTACAGGTAGAAAAGCCATACGAGGCATTCCCTTTGGTTGCTCAGGCCTTAGCGGCCTGTCATCCAGGCCCCTTGGCCTCAGAGGTCTACGCTGCCAGGCGCCTTCAGTGGGCCCTCCCAGTGAGTGGTGTGCTCCCTCTGGAGCCGGGTACGGTAGTAGAAGAGGTAGGAAGGTAGCAGGAATCCCAGGAGTGACAATAGCAGGAGGCCCAGATTCACCTTTAGGACAAAGAGAGAGACACAGAGTCAGATAGGTTTCTTTTCTCCCTCATCTCCCTCGGGGACCCACCATCGCCTCCAACAGGGAGGAGAAGGCAGCCGTTTCACTCCGGGTTCCAGTCCAGAATAATAAATATAGCTAGAACTGATTGTGCTCAATCACTGTTCCAACAGTATCTCATGTAATAGTGAGCAGCCTTGTAAAGTGGCAGAGTCTGGTGTGAACCCTAGCTAATGCCAGTGTTCCAGTGCCCACACGCTCTGGCGCCCTCCAGGTAGACATGAGGATGGTGGCAGAACCAAAGGAGACTGGATGGACCCAGAGGGTATTACGCTAAGTGAAATAAGTCAGACAGAGAAAGACAAATACCATATGGTCCCACTTATATGTGGAATCTAAAGAACAAAATAAATGAACAAACAAAACAGAAACTGATTCATAGGTATAGAGAACAAACCAATGGTCGCCAGATAGGAGGGGGTTTGGGGAGCTGGATGAGAAAGGTGAAGGGATTAAGAAGTGCAAATTGCTAGTTACAAAATAGTCACGGGATGTAAAGTACAGCACAGGGAATGTAGTCAATAATATTGTACCAACTATGTATAATGCCAGGTGGGTACTAGACTAATCGGGGGGGATCATTTCATAAATTATACAAACGTCTAACAACTATGCTGTATACCTGAAACTAGTATAAAATAATATTGACTGTCAACTGTAATTGACAAGAAAGTACACGGTGTGCTTAGCACCCAGTGAGCGCTCTGTAAATGGCAGCTGTCACTTCATCATCAGTCTTGTGGGACAAGGGTTTATGCGGAGTGGGTGGCCCCCAGGGCAGAGAGATCAGCTTTCAGGAGGCAGATGTCAGTTCAACGTAAGGAAAAGCCTTTCCGACAGTACTAGTGGCTGCTGCCTTGTGTAGGAGAGGCGTTGTCACTGAGGGGGTTTGGAGGAACCCCTTCTCAGGAGGGCTGGAGAAGGTCCCTGCATATGGTGGAACTGGATCGGATCAGGACTGGGCACTTCACATGTCACCTGGGAGCTTGTGCAAAACAGACTCGTGGGCCCAGGCCAAGAGACGCTGATTTAGAAAGCTGGAGAGTGTGTGTTTTTAACACTCCATGAGGGGTTCTGATGGGCAGCCAGCTTAGGAACCCCCAGATTAGAGACTCCCACGGCACTTGCTGGCTGAGATGAGGGGTGAAGAATTCTATCACATATAAGCCCCCCGCCTCCAGCTCCTGGGCTGCACCTAGGAAAGGGGCTCCTGTTCCCCCATGACACCCCCAGTTCTCACCCAGAAGGGATCTCCTTTCAAGGGCCCCACCATGGCCATGAAGAGCGGCTGCTGGAGCAGGGCGGACAAAGCACTGATGAGGGACTGCAGGCCTGTCAGTGTCCCAAAGTGGTTGGACGGGAACCTGTTGACAAGACAGGGGCCAAGCATGAAGGGCGTGTGGCCCTCCCGCCCGGCACGCCTCCTGTGCCCCTCCCTGGACACCACGCTATGTTAGCCAGGCAGCGTAGGGCTTGAGTTCAGCTCTTCACATGTGCTCTTTGGTTGCTGGCCTGGAGGGTATATATGCCATGACCTCAGGGCCACCGAATTGGCTTGTGATGCCTCCTGTCTATGTGATAATAACAAGTAACCCAACCTCTCTGAGCCTCACTTCCTCCACTAAAAACAGGGATACACCTAACTTCTCTGGGCTCTTCACTTACTCTTAACAAATGTTTATTGAGATCCTACTATGTGCCAGGTGCCAGTCTACGTGCAGGGAGACTCAGCCATGACCCAGACAAAGATTCCTGTCCTCGTGGGGGAGGCATTCTGGTGGGGCGGGTGGTAGTCACCCGATAAGCCAGATAAAGGCATAGTGCCTTCGATGGTGATTAAATGCTAAGGAGAGAAGTTAAGCAGAAAAAGGGGATGAGGGTGCCAAGAGGGTTTCAGTTGTAGATAGGGTGGCCAGGGGAAGCCTCGCTGAGTAAAGGACAACTGGGTAAAGACCTGGAGAAGGTGAGACCGCCATGAGCCTTACGAATAGCTGGAGGAAGAATGTTCTAGGAAGCGGGAACAGCAAGGACACGGGCCCTGAGCGGAGAACATGCTTGGGGTTTCTGAGGCACTGAGGTGGCCATAGGGGGAGGGGAGTGTATGAGGTGAGGAGCGGAGGAACGAGGGCAGAGAGGTCCCACGTCCTTTTAAGCTACAATAAAACCTTTAGCTGTTTCTTTGAGAGACAAGACGGGAAGCCATGGAGTGCCATGAAGGGACTTATGTCCTAACAGGTGTCTCTAGCTACTGTGTTAAAAATAGCCCAGGGGAAGGCAAGGGCATCTGAGGGCAGACCATCCAGAGGCTGCTACAATCATCCAGGACAGGGGTGGTGGAAAAGATAAGAAGGGCTGGATCTGGGCTGTGTAGAATGGGCGGCTGGCAGGGTTGCTGCTGGATTGGATGTGGCATGCAGGGAAGAGACGAATCAAGGATGAGCCCACCATTTTAGCTTGCGCAAATGAAGGCAACAGAACTGAGATGGCTGTAGTGAGGTTTAGATAAGGGAGTGCTGGTCAAGTGTCCCTCACTGCACCTGCCACGGAAATAGGTACCCAGTAACAGTTATGATTTTGTCACCACTATTGTAATATCCTATATTGCTCCATCATATACACAAGGGAGAGTCACTTGGCAGCGCCGGGCAGTGGGAACCAGAAGAAAAAAAGAAAGGGAACTGGGCGCCACTTAACACAAAGCAAGAAGATCGCTGTCTGGAAATTTTTATAGGGCTGACACGGGGAGAGGCCACTTTGGGAGCCATTCCACAGAGCAAACATGGGACCAAAGTGCCATCAAATCAAGTTATTTCAGCTTCCTCTAAGGGAAGTCTTTCTGACAGTGGAATTATCCTGCAGTTGAGTGGGCTGCCTCTGAGGAAATGAGCTTCCCATCATTAGAGGAACTCGGAGAGGGCAGTGGGCCAGGTGGCCTCCAAGATCCCCACCAATCCCCTCCTCCCACCCCATCCTCTGAGATGTCAGCATTCCAGGGAGGCTGGGGAGGGCACACCTACGCGGTGGGAGGGGTGCCTTACGGGGTGTCTGGGGCCCTTTTGACTCTGCTCTGGGATCCCCTAGTTATAGCGGGGGTGCTCAAGAAGGCAGTTAACCCCGGGCTGACTCACACTGCGGCATACAGGCCTCCACAGGCAGAATGGTAGAAACCTCGAACCACCGTGTGCAGGACAAAGGTCATAAACTGAAACCAAAAAGAGAGAGGTGTGAGGTGAAGAGCAGGTGTGGGGGCAGGACGAAGGACGGATGAGGCGAAGAGGGAAGTGGAGCCTTACCGAGCCCATCTACACATGCCTACCCTCTCGACCGCCCAACTTACTATAAACACTTCCTGGAAAACCCCAAAAATAGACCCAGAAGACAAGAACCATGTTTCCTGGAAGGCAGACGCCAGGGGAACCATCCTTTTGGAGGAGTCTGGGAGGCAGGGAGGGTGGGGAAGACGGAGGTGGGTACCTGGAGAGGTAAGTTGTTAATGAGGCAGGTGATGCCAAAGGACACAAGCAGAAAGTTGGTCAGGGTGAAGGCATTGATCGCATTGGTGAGCTTCTGGGTCTTGCGGTAGCGTGGTCTGGCGGACTTGGTGGCAACCCCGTCACTGAGGAGGACAGACTGTCACTGGCCGCTACCTCTACCTCCTGGGAGCTCCCTGGCTCTCAACCTTGGCCTCTCCCCCTTCTGCTGTTCCTTTGTCATCAGGGCAGCAGAAAAGGGAGAACACCGTTTCTCAAAGTGTGGCTCCCCCATCAACTAGCCATCTCCTGGGGCCTTCCTTAAAAATGCAGATCCCAGGGCCTCACCCCAAACCTCAGACTCTCCAGAGTGGGGCCCAGGAATCTGCATTTAGACAAAGATCCCAAGCATTTCACATGCACACTGAAGTCTGAGACTCAGGGTGGGAAGGAAGGTGGAAAATGGGGTGCTCTCACATCATTTTTCACTGGAAGCCCCAGCAAAGTGTCTCTGCCCACCAGCCTGGACAAGTGTGACTGCCCAGCAAGCCCCTCTCTGTGGCAAGGTCAAGAGCTCCAAGACTGGCCCCGGGGAGAGGTCAGGAGGCTGGGATGAGGGCAGGCTACCCATTGGTCCTAGAAAGAAGGGCCCTGCTAATCAACGCTGGCCACCAGGACCAGGGGGCAGAGAAAGGCTGGGGGCCAGGGCCAGGGCACCGCTGGCGGGGAGGGAAGCCATTGTGCTGTTCCTTAGACACCTTCTCTCCTAGTCTCCTTCTCCCAGCCTCTCGGGACAAACAGGGACTATGGGATTAACACAAAAAGAGCGCAGTAATCAGAAGATCTCGGTTCAAGACCCAACAGTGGTCTCCAGCCAACAAGACAGCCTCCAAAGACCCCCTCCTCCTGGTATTCACACCCTGTGGGGTCCCCCTGCACACTGTACCAGAGTTACCCTGTGTAACCAATAGAACATGACAGAGTGATGGTGTGTCACTTCTGAGACTGCATTATGAAAGACACTGCAGAGTCTGTCTCGGTCTCCCTCCTTTAGCTCTCATTCTGGGGGAAGCCGGCGGCCTCGTTGTGAGCAGCCCCGTGGAGAGGCCCAGGTGGGGAGGAACTGAACCTCCGGCCGACAGCCCCAGGAATGAGCGTAGGAGCAGATTCTCCAACCCCAGTCAACACTTCAGATAACTGCCAACAGCTTGACGAGAGACCCTGCTGTAGTCTGAATGTTTGTCTCCATCCCCGACCCCCAAATTCATCTGTTGCAATCCTAATGCCCAATGTGATGGTGTTAGGAGGTGGGGACTTTGGGAGGCGGTTAGGTCCTGAGGGCGGAGCCCTCATCATGGGATCAGCGCCCTTACGAAAGAGGTCCCACAGAGCTCCCTATTTCCTTCTGTCACAGGGGGACACAGCGAGGGGTCTATGACCCAGAAGGGCCTCACTCAACCATGCTGGCGCCCTCATGTCAGCCAAGTTTGGGGGTAATTTGTTATACAGCAATAGATATCCAATATGCCAGCTATCTCTTCCTAGCCTTAAGGAGCCTTTAGAGTAGTATACCCTTTATAACATAGGTTCTAGAGCCTGCTACTCACAACTGTGTGATCTTGGGTAAGCTACTTAACCTTTCTGTGTCTCGGCTTCCTCATTTGTGAAATGAGGATAATGTACCTACCTCAGAGGTAGGTACAGGTAGCTGTTGCAGGACTAAATAAGACAATGCAGGGTGATCCGAGTCAGCACTCGATGTCAGCTAGACATACTATCAAGCAAGCCATGGTCCCTCTTAGCCTCAGTTTCCTCATCTGTAAAATGGGGAGGTACCTCTGCTCTCCCAGGGCTCTTAGAATGAAATAAGATGCTGGATGTGAAAGCACATAGAAAACGGAAAGCCCCGTTTGACGGCTTGCTGTCACCATCCCTGTGTGGGTCACCTGGCATCTTTGAGGGCAATGCCCTCAGCGGGGGCATCCACGCAGTCCTTGATCCGCCAGTCCATGATGTAGCCAATGAGAGGGCAGGTGAGAAGGCACAGCAGCTGCATGGCCCCAAAGATGTAGGAGTAGAACTCCACTGCGCAGGGTGGGAGGGGACGTGGGATCAGGGGCTGGCATCGCCACCCACTTCCGGCGGAGAAGAGGGAGTGCCAAAACAGCCTCCCTCTGACCCCAGATTCCTAGATCCCCCAAATGCCCAGGGTGATAAGGGTGGGTCCAGGCATCCTTCAAAGTGGGCAATGGCAAGGTGGGTACGGGCCAGGGCCCCAGCTTTCGTCCCCTTACCTGTCTTTGCTGCCTTTTGTTTCAGGTCAACTGTCTCTGTTGGGGGTGGCAGGGGAGAAGTCGGGGTGAGAGGAGCTCAGCCAGGGTGACCCTCCTGTGCCCCCCGTGGGCTCAGCAGCACCTCACCATGCTCCTGGCCACCGGTCACGAGGTACTCCAGCATCTTGTTCATGGCAGCCATGTAGAAGATGACCCGCAGCTGGGTTATGCCCATGGTGAGGAGGCTCCACAGGAAAATGGGGGAGCAGAGGCTCTGGCGAAAGGGGACAGACTCTGGGGAGACAGCAGGGGGCGCCTCTGAGCTGCAGATCTTCCATTTCCCTCTGAATGTCCTAACCGTCGCAGTTCTGTGTGACTTTGGAGAGACTGGTTTCTTCAAAAGCAAGGGTTCAGACTTACTGGACTCCAAGTCCTTTCTTGTCCAGCCCTGTAACTATCTCAACAGAACATTTTCAGGTGACCTCTGTAAACCCTATGTTTGGTGCGGTACTAATAATCCAGCTACTCTTTATTAAGCACTTACTATGTGCTGTGCTCTTGACATGTATTGTCCCATTGAATCAAATCGTACAACACCCTGTCTTTAGCACATTTTACAGTTGGGGAAACTGTGGTTCAGGCAGCTCAATGACTTGCCCAAGCTCATGGGGCTAGAAGCCGTAGGTTAGCTGACTCAGCTCACGCCCATAAGTCGGCCATGGGAGGACCAGCCACGGGGATAACACCTTTGCAACTGCACAGTGCTCTGCAGTTTACAAAGAGCTTCCTCGTTCATGACTTCATTCAATCCTCACAACCAACTTCCCTGTGAGGTGGGTGTTATTAGTGCTAGTTTAAGAGATGAGGAAAGCAAGAGCCAGGTTAAGTGATCTACCCAAGTCACACGGCCTGTAACTGGGGCGCGGGACTCACACCCCCATCTCCTGACTCCAAGGCCAGTGATCTTTCACTAATCTCAAAGTTGACACTTGCGGAATTGGCCACCTCAGGAGGCGAGTTTCATCTCTTTCTGCGGCCAGCAGGGGGCGCCAGCCAGCCAGGCATTGGCAGGCCTAGCCTGGAGGCTGGCTCACCTGGCCCCATGTGCCTGATGCAAGAGGCTCAGAGGTTGCAGGGGGTCCTGATGAAACCAGCCTCTCCACAGGCCTGGAGACCCTGCCCCATTCTAGAAGCTCCTCTCTCTCCATCACCCCAGGAATCCAACAGAGTACTCCTAAATCTGAATTTCCCAGAGTTCTCTGAGCTCTGATTCCCCTGCCCCCAATTCTGTAAATGAGGATTGCCCACCTACACCATGGGGTGTTATGAGAACTGAAGAGGGGAAAGGTGAGCCCTTGGGCATGAAGGCTCACTAGGCGTGAGGACCCACCTTCCCTGTCCCCCAAGACTGGCACCTTAACCAGACACTCACTCTCACGAGGGTTTTCCGAGGTACCATGAACGTCCTGGGAGGAGTTGTAGAGGTCATCCCCCTCCATGCTGGGGGTCTTCTGGCTCAGCCGCTGGCCCACGATGGTCACATGGGTGTAGAAGCGGTCACCTGTCACCTTGTGATCCAGGGCCAGCCCAGTGAGCTTGATCTTCTTCCTGCCAGGAGCCAAGCAGCCAGGCGGGAACAATGGAAAGCAGCCCCACAGAGCCTACCCTCAACAGCCTGCCTCTAGGGGTCTGTCCCAGTCATCCCAGGGGGGCCGAGCACCCTTTTACACAGCTCTGACATGCCCACTGTTAAGCTCCCTAGTGTAGGGCTCATGTCTGGGTCCCTCAGAGCCCAGCCCAGGGATCAGTTTAGTGCCCAGTAAGTAAAGAGTGGATGAGTCATTTTCGACTGGGGCTGTTGCCATAGGGGCAGCATTGAAAACTCTGATTGGCGTCAGAGAGCCTGACTCCAACCTCAGATTCACCCCCTTTCCAAGGGTATGACCTTAGGAAACACTTTGTTCCCTGCACCTGTATTATTAATGGAGTTAACAGAATCCATGTGATATGGCTGTTTGAGAATTATATGAGGGCTATGCAATGCCTGGCATACAGGAGGCACTTGAGACACACACACACACACACACACACACACACACACACACACACACACACAGTCCCCAGGTGAACTGATAGGAGATCAGGAAAAGTTAGCATTCAGGCTGCCTCACAAAGTGTGGGGTATCTGATTCCTTTGTATCTCCCTTCTGGGTCCACATGGCACATGGCACTATTGCTGGGGTCCCTCTTACTCTGAATCCCATGCTCCAATCCCAGGAAGGATAATAATGATAACAGTCACCATGTTTTGACTGCCTGTGATGCACCAGGTGTATTCCTAATTCCTGTGGGTGGGTAGGCTCAGGCCCGTGGTAGGGATGAAACAGCAGAGCTCAGGAGCTCAGGTGATTTGCAAATCCAGTTCTCTCAGAAACAAAGCTGTTTCTGTCCACCACATCACCACACCCCTGGCCTCTCCCTCTGCAGCGAGGGGGTCCCCCCTCCCACCCCAGTGCCCCCATAGCACCAACTCACGTGTAGCTGGCTTCCTCAGGGGCAGGAAAGGCTTCACTGGGCCAGTTGAGGGCACAGTTAACAAAGATGAGGCAGGCCAGCCCCGACCAGGTGAACATGATGACCACGAAGGACACACCAGCATCGTAGATCAGCTGTGGGAGGAGAGGGTAGGTCCATGAGGGAGGCCACCTGGCGGCCAGGCCCACCTCTTCCAGCCAGAGGTAGAACCCAGGCCTCAGAGGCCTTAGAGAAAGTCTCTTCTATCTCATTCCTTGTGTCCAATTTGCAGATGAGGAAACCAAAGTCAGAAGATAAGAGTCAGACCTAGAAACCCCACCACCCTCTTCCTTTTTTACTGCAGCCCCCTAAAGTAGGGTGAAATAGTACCCACAAGGTGCTGAGGTTGCTGGCCACAAGCTCAAAATGTCTTTGAAATTCCCATTATTATCTTAAAAAGACACAAGCTTTGCCCATGAGTCCATACACATTTGTTTTTACACAAAAATATCATTTCATTTTATGTACAAAAGAGGAGAATTAAGGCTCTAAGTTTACCAGCCCCAACAGTGTTTATCCTGCCCTTTCCTGGCCTGTTCCCTGGAGGAAAGACAAACCCAGCAATCAAGCCTTATCTCATCTTTCACAGGTGATCCCAGGTGCGACACTGAGGGGGGAGGGGAGGTGTGCAATGCTCAGCTCAAGGCCTCCTAACCCAGGACAAATAGGTTCTGAATTGATTGGGATTCTGTGCCAATGTGTCAGCCCCTCTACTGGGGTGTCCCTCCTTTTGTCCTCTCTGCCACCCTCTGCCTGGAATGACTGACGTCTGCCCTCCCCCCTCGAACTACTGCTCAGAGCTCCAGTGCTGCCCAGGAACACTGTTCCACCTGGGGGCTCCTTGGGCCTTGGGGCTCTTTGTTCCCTGTGGGCAGGACAGGGCGTCAGAGGACCATACCCCCAAAGGAGGCTCCTCAAGCCCCACTTAGTTGCCTTAGTTGAAGAGAAGGGAGAACTGCCACTTCCATGCCTGCTGCTCCTTAATTGACGGCCACCCCGCCAAGACATACGCTCAAACTCATTTGCACACACTGAGCAAGGGCCTTCTAAACTAACAAATTAATTGCCCAAGGAGGAATGTAAGGGGCATACTATGGCCCAGCTAAAAGGGCACTTTGTTACCATTTGATACCATTTGATAGACCATTTGTTACCACTGAACTGTCTAGGATCTGGCCTGGCATGGACTAGCTTTGTGACCTTGGACCCAAGTACTCAGCCTCTCTAGGGTCAGGGAAGGAGATGTGGCTGGAAAGGTCGGGTAAGGTCAGAGAACCAAGAGCCTTGAATGCATGAGAACAGGATGGACTTGATAGTGTAGGCGAAGTGGGTGTGTGAGCAAATCCTCCAGCTAAGGTCATTCTGGAAGTCATTGTGAATGACAGATGGGAGAGGGGAAAGATCAGAGGCAAGGAGACCTGCTGAGAAAGCCTGCACTGGTCCAGAAGAGAGGATAAAGGCCTGGACTGGGACAACAGTCAAGGAAAGGAGAGAAGAGAAATCAGGCCCACTGGTCGGCAGCAGGGTGTTGTCTCTTCCCATGATGCCTTGTGCTTTTCCCCCCAGAGGTGGTGGGAAGTGATCACCGACCAGAGCGGCAGGAGCTGGGTCACCAGACACCAGCCACTATGTATCCAGCCCCACCCAGTCCTCTTTTAAAGGCAAAAGAAAACCCAGTGACCTCACTGTACCCCAGACAGCTCCGTACCTTGATTCCTGGGAACGTGATGGCAGAAGAGGCATAGGAGCCGATCATGAGGGCCATGACAGTGGAGCGCAGGTTCCCAAACATGTTGGGTAACTGAGGGAAGAAGACAGCGCCAGTGAGCAGGGGAGACCCCGACATCTGCCCACGGCTCCCCCTTCCCAGCCCCGCCTGAAAAACTTGGAAGCATCCAACCCAGCTGTCCTCACAGTGATCTCCAGGAACACCAGCCCCATGAGACGCCACAGAAAAGTTCTAAGGCAAGTCAATACCAAAAACTGCTCTAACCACCCTCCTGCAGACTCCCAAGGCACGTTAGCATCTGAAAGGCTCCCAGAAGCGCCCTCAAAGAGAAGTTTTGTCAATTTTGTTTGACCCCAGGGTTTCCCAAGTTCGTTGCTTATGGAGCCTCTTTATTTTGTGCCGCCTCTTCATAACCCATGGAATGGGTGTTTAAGAAACATTGATCTACTTTGTTCGCTATAGTACATGTCTAATCACTATGTTGTACACCAGAAACTAATATGATATTGTATGTCAACTGTAACTGGAACATAAGTTTTTTAAAAAAACAAACAAACACTGATCTAGTGCAACTCATGAGACAGATGAGAAAAGTGAGGCCCAGAGAGGGAAGGAAATGTACTCAAGTTCACAGCGCACGTTAATGAGTTTCTCCCCTGTCTGGCTGTTCTATTATAGCTCTGCCCAAGTCCAGGCTGTGACTGACCATGGCTGGCTCTGTAACAGGATGGTGCCCCTTAACCTTCCCAGTGGCCCCAAAGGACTCAGTCCACAGTGTTTGCTGAGCCAGGACAAGTCATGGGACAGGCTAGGGAGGTGACGGTGGGACTAAGGAAGGCCAGGTTTCCAGGAGAGGTGGTGGCTCTTACGTGCACAAAACTCCCACCAGTAGAGAATTAATTGATCATATGTTCTGCTCACTGGCCTGAGCCAAGCCCTCAGGGAAGGGGTAAAGCAAAGTCATGGTGTCCCCTGTGTACACCCACTGTGGCCCCACCATCCTCCCAGCTCTGCAGATCCCATATCTGGGAAGGGCCTTAGAACCTTAAGCCCTCTCTACTAAAGGGAAAACCCAAGCCGATAAGGGAACCTCAGATAACTCTGAAAAGGAAGGTGGATAAACACAGAGAATTGAGTCCCCCACCAACCTCCAAATAGCTATGAAAACGGTGTGGGGCCTGGCTGACCCCCTACTCGGGCAGAGGTTTCCCTGGAACCCTGTATCTGCAAGGCATGCTGCCAAGGCCGCCAGGGAAAGTGCCGGGACTGAGGGCGTCCAGGCCCTTGCGCCGCCCCGCCACCCCGCCCCATAACCCAAGGGTCCCAGAGCGCTGTCTCCACCCAGCACGGCGCAAGGCCAGCCTGGCTAACCCTGGGCTGACGGGCTGGGCAGCACTGGACGTCCTGGTTCGGATATGTCCTGGCGGGATCCGAGCTAACGCAGAGGCCCGCGGGGCGGGGCCGGGGCCAGCGCCGGGCCCTGCCATTGGTTGGCGATTACCGGCGGCGGGGCAGGGGCCGGAGAGGCGGCCGGTCTGCAGGCAGAGCCCCCTAAGCCTGCACCCTGGGCCCTCCAGGACAGGGTCCAAGGTTAGGCTTCCCGCCACGCCGCGCTGGGCAGGGCAGAGAAGGGATTTAGGGCTCTGAGCCAAGTTGCACAGCGTGGGGAAGAGGCTGCGGAAGGGGGCGGGGAGGAAGGGAACTGCTTCCTTAAGAGAGTTGTGAAATGTCCCGGGCTGGAATGAAGGGCTGGGGTGAAATTCCGCCCAAAACACCCAATTTGGTGGTCAGGCGGCCCTCGTTCGAGATAAACAGCCCAGCCAGAGATAAACAGCCAGTTCCAGCCAGAGGCTGGTCCGGCCAGAAACAGCTCCCCGCGTCACACATTCATAAGCCTTGAACCCTTATACTCACCCACATACAGAAACACACACACTTAGAGTGACACACACACAAAACTGACACATATGCGTAAGAGGACGAGACCTGTGAAAAAGCCGTTTTTGTAGGTCAAGTGAAGTCAGTGTCAGTAATTTCATGTGGTTTGAGTGAATACACTAAAAAATACATTTGCCTTCTCACGCCCTTTCCCGTGGGCAGCGCCACACATACGCGAGGCAAACACACACACTATCCCAAGCTGCTCGCTCCGTCACTATCACATTACCCAGTTTTATTTTCTTTCCAGCACTTATGACTACGGACAAAATGTATTAGTTTACTTGTTTGGGGGATTGCCTGTTCCCCCAAACCCTGAATGCAAGCTCCAGCAAGGTGAGGAAGTTCCGTTCTGTTTGTGCTGCAGCCCCAGTGCCTACAGCTCAATAGACAGTATCGGCTACACACACACACACACACACACACACACACACACACACCCATTTGATCTGTGTCCACTGGCCCTTCTCCACTCTCACCCTCACTCACTCCTACCCCCACCCCACTCCTGAGTGCCCTGCTGCCAAGCCGGAGCCTGTCATACTCACCGTGAGTGAAGAGAACGTTAGGCAGATGCCACCAAAGCCATTCAGGGATAGTGCCAGGAATATCAACGGAGACAGAACTGGGAAGGGGAGAGGGGTGGATGAGGGCATTTGGGAGCTGTGAGAGGCCAAGGGCAGGAGCCGGGGTAAGCATCCACCTTTATCCCACTCATTCTTTTCTCGTGGGGTTACGAGAGGCCAGACCTCTCACCTTTGGTGTCCCGTGAGGCCAGGGCCATGAGGGTGCAGGACGCTGCGAAGCAGGTGCTGTGGAGATGTGGGGGGAAGGGGAGGAGTTGACTGTTAACACTCAGAGCTTCCCCTCCCCCTGCAGCACCACTCCCTGCCCTCCAGCTCCCCAAGGCCTGGCCCCACCACCTCACCTGCCAACCAGCCGTGTGGGCCGGGGGCCAAAACGGTCCATGAAGATCCCCAGTGGCAGGGTGGTGGCGCTGAGCACAAAGGAGCCGATGGTGAAGCCCAGGGTGAGCATCTCTTCCTGGGGGTCACAGCTGGGCCACCGGAACTGTGCATCCTGGGTGGTGTTGGTGGTGTTCTCAGCTGAGGAGGGGCAAGGGAGGGCTCAGCACATGAGAGCAGGAGCAGCGGGGCACAGGAGAGAGTGGCCTGGCATCAGGGGTCCTGCACTCAAATCCCATGCATCTGATTTACTGCCAGCCAGGTGGGGAGGGGGCTCCAGAAATGGCAGCATCCAGTATGTGACCCTGGAGGAGCCACACACCCAATCAGAGGCCTCAGCTACCTCAAACATGCTCACAGACACTAACGTATTTACTAAGTTGTAACATTCACTCAATGGTCAATCTTAGGGGGTCATAGACCCCCAACAGGAAGCACCCTCAAATCCGGGCACAAAGTCAGTGAGTGATGCTCAGTTGACGTAACAAGATTCACTTAAAACTTACAGGAAGCTCACCCCATAAACAACATTCTGATAAAATACTAGCTAATATTCATTGAGCACTTAACTATGTTCTAGGCAATGCTCTCAGCAGTCACCTTATTAACTCACAACAGCCCCAGGAGTCAGCTAATAAAGTATTTCCAATCTCCAGATGATGAAACTGAGGCGCAGCATTAGGACCGCGGCACTGCCCTCCAATACCCCTTAGAGGTTCACTGGGAGGACGTGTCCTCCAGGTAAACTGCCAACTTGGAGTTGTGACAAGTTAATGAAAAAGGTTAGTGGGGGAAGGCAGGTGATTTCACTTCACTCAATGCTCAGCGAGCCATGAGGTGGCTGTTCCCCGCCACCAATTTGTTACTTAGGCATCATTGCCAAGGACAAACTCAGGGTGCGCCTGGAAGGCAGCGAGGTCAGGGTCTGAATTCCCACCACCATCTTTACTAGCTGTGCAACCTCGGACATGTAACTTCCTCTCTTTGAGCCTCAAGCCCCTTGCCTGTAAAAGGGAGCAGAGAATGCCTAACCCACAGGCTCTTTAGGAGATCCAGTTGGAGAAGGTGAACAGAGACCTTTGTCCAGGGCCTGGCCCAGGGAAGGTGCTCCTGAAATGGCTGATGAAGGGGAGATGATGGCTCCTCTGAAGGGTCCCAATGTGGTCAGCCTCTTCTCTAGGTGCTGAGGATCCCACAGTGAATAAGACAGGAAGCGCTCAGCTCTCCTGGGGCTTATATTAGATAATACACAAGGAAAAGAGCAGACACTGATTTAAAGGGTGATAGGTGCTGTGACAGGAAGATGTAATAGTGCCTGAATTCGGGGGGTGGGGGGGGGCCACCACTAGTGACCTCAATGTTGACAATGACCCCTGACTTCAGATATCTGAAGGGCATGCATGTGGCGGAAGGGCGAAGTGATCTAACAAAGAAGACATTTCAGATCATGAGTGCTGGACAACCAGGTGAAGAGCTGCATTGGGCCACGGGGAGTTTCCATCTGTAGGTACCAACTGCCAAGGAAGCTGGGGAGAGTGCTCAGACACCTGGAAGGAGTGATTAGTAGTTTAGACCACACAGCCTTCAGGGTTCAGGCTAGCCCCATAGTTTAGTGATTTTATGATCACTGTTCATTTCTCTGCCAGGTTTGTCTGCACCCATTTATTCCATCTACACACACTTACTGGACATCTACTGTAAGACAGGCACTGTGTTGGGACAGTGGGTAATGTGCAGGAAGAAATACAAAGATCATTTAGGCCAGAGGCTGCACATGGCGGACCAGCAATGGCCCACACATAAGTTTTGCTTGGCTTGGAAATTTTAATTGAGTGCCAGTTTAAAATCAGGAGTTATCACATAAAAAATCCAGAAGTCTGGCTTTTCTTTAAGAAGTCAGAAGAGGGGCCGGTCAAGTGGCACATTGGTTAGGAGTTGGCTTGGGACGCCAGCTCTGAGCAGCAGGGCCCCAGTTCAGATCCCACATGAGGGCCAGTGACGCTGTGCCCTCTAGAGCTAAGATGGTGAACAACAGCTCAACCTGGAGCTGGGCTGCCATGAGTCACCCATGATGGCGTAGGTTGCAGCTGGGCTTCAGTGGGCTGCTGTGAGCTATGGTGAGTGGCCGGCAGCGGGCATGAGCGGGTGGCAGCCAGCGTTAGCTGCCATGAGCCGCCCTGAGTGGCCTTCCAGTGGCTGGCGACCGATCTGCCTCAGCCGGGAAGAGCGCAATGATAATACCAACATGGGCCAGTGAAGCGACGTCCTCCACAACTGGACTGAAGAACAAAAGGACAGCAACTTGTCTGTTCCCCTTCCCCGATTCCCCAACGCTGTTCCCCTTCCCCAATTCCCCAATAAAATCTTAAAAAAAAAAACAAGTCAGAAGAGGGGTGACCGGTTAGCTCAGTTGGTTAGAGCTTAGAGCATTGTACTGATAACACCAAGGTTGCTGGTTCAATCCCCGCATGGGTCACTGTGAGCTGCACCCTCCTTAAAAGAGTCAACTACACCACTGTAGGTAGCATGAAAGCAATGTGTGACCAATGACCATGACTGTTCCCCAATAAAATTTAAATAAAAAAGTCAGGAGATCTGGCCATTTCTGGAGCTGAGTAGAGGCCACCCCTTTTCGCCAGGGTTTGCCTTCTCCAGGTCACACAAGTCCTCACTTCACTTTTAACTCAGATATTAGCATCTTACATCTGCCCTGATTTGCCAGTTATTAACTGCCTGGCCTCTGTTGGCCTTTTAGTTTGCAGCCCCTGAATTAGACACTGCCCCTGCTTCTAAGTCTTTGGCCATCAGATGACACTTGTCTCTCACGAACAGTCCCACTACCTCTCAACTAATTAACACCTACTTTGTGCCAGGCTTTTTCATGTAGTATCTCATTTAATCCTTACAACAACCGTAAAAAGCAAGTATATACTCCCCATTTTATAGATGATGAGGCTCTGAGAAGCAGAGCAGCTCACAGCCACACAGCCCCTTACAGGCGGGCTCAGATTCAAACTCAAGACAATCTCCAGTGCCAATGCTTTTCCATGGTACCACAGAGCCTCTCTGTCCCGGACAGGGCGGCTTCAGCAGACGTGAGGGCTGGCAAGGAAATGTGTTCTTCCACTGGTGCAGAATTCCAGCCCCCAGGGCTGCTCGTAGCTCTGGTCAATTAACACATGTGTTTCTCTGGTTTATCGATCAGGCTCTTGTGAGTTTGACTAATACAAGCCAGTTCCTGAGACCTGATTCCTCTGCGTGGTTGGGTAAAGCCAGACTTCTGAAGCACCTCTTAGTAGACCTCTAGCCATGTCAAGACAACAAAAGAGGTCTTTGAAATCCAACCCAACTGCCCCATTTTCACAGACGAGTCAAGTGAGGCGTGGAGTGGGACAGAGAAAGCATACTCGGTAAGCTAGTGGCAGAGACAGGCTTAGAAGCCAGGGAAAACGGTGTTCCCCCGAGTGTGGAAATGGGGTGGGCACTCAGGATAGGTTTAGGGGGCACATGGAGTGGTGTTTGATGTTTCATAATTATGAGCTATTTGAATGGCTTTCAATAACACACGCATATATACATATACATATTACTAGGGAGATATATATATGTATATTAGAAACATATGTGTACATGTGTATGGGGTGTGTGTGTGTGTAAGTAACATCAAACCCAAGATTCCAAGGATATTATACTTTCAAATGAGGTTAATTTTTTAAGTGGGTTGATTTAAAAGGAAATACTAAGTAAATAATAACACCTATGGCACACAGAAATAATGAAGACGTGAACGTGAACTCCAAATGACTAGGCCTGGGAAAAAGTGGGAAACAGGATCATGGTTCATCAATCTGCCTCTGGAGTCCAGAGCATGGCTAAAAGCTGGCTCCACTAGCTGTGCTGCTGAAACCGAGGCTCTGGTATCCCACCTGTGAAATAGGGGGAGTGGTGGCAGCCACTGGAGAGGCTGGCTCTAAGGGTTGCCATGCAGACACTCACAAAACGATCCCATTTTCTTGGTCTCCCTGGTCAGTGAGCCCTTCCTCATCCCCCGATGCTTCGCTTTCCTGCAGAAGACATAGTCATATTCACCAAAACTTCCAAAGGGTTGGGCTCTCGCTAGTAGTCCTGTCTATGTCTGGACTCCCCCAAGCTGAAGGTCAGGGAAGTAGGTCTACAGTAGTATTTCCACAAGGCAAAAAGAAGGGCTCCAAAGTCAGACTTGGGGTTGAACGCTTGCTCTGCTCCGTTTATTAGCTGTGTGACCTCAGGCAAGTTACTTAGCATCTCTGAGCTTCAGCTGTCTCTTCCGTAAGTGGGGTTAATAATAAAACCCACATCACAGATTTGTTGTGAGGACTAAAGATCTAATTAGCAAATAGAAAATGCTTAAGGAACTTTAGCCACTGTTTTCTTATTTCGGCACTTATGTGAGATATACAGTAGTGTGTGATAAACTGAACTGCCCCTACCTAAATTCTGAGTCACACCGCCCTTTAACTGTGATGCCCTTACAGGTGGGTCAACCACCCACCCCAAGGTATACCTCAACAGAGGGACCGCAGAAAGCCCTGAGCAGAACAGGGGGCATGGCCAGGAAACCCCAAAGCCGATGCTAATGAACACCTCAATAATGAGCTCCACATTTGCTAAATGGCATCATTTGGTCTTCGCATCACTGCTCTGTGGCAAAGAGGATGAGGGTTGTCCACTCCATGGTACAGACTTAGAAGAGGGGATCCAGAGAGAATAGGTGACTTGCCTAAGGTCACACAGCAAAAGCTGACAGCGGAGGCTCCAGAACGTAACAGCCACCACCAGTTGTCTGAATTTTGCAATCTTGCTCTCATTTCATTTTCACAACAGCCCTGCAAGTAGGGATTATTGGTTCCTTTTTACATATGGGATAACTGAGACATTAAGAAAGTTAAGTAACTGGCTCACGTCAGCCAACTGGCACGTGGGAGAGTTGGAAGTCATGCTGTTTCCATACACTATGGGGACACAGACTCCTGGGCTGCTTCTGTGTTCTTGGGACCCTGTAGAGGGAGGCCAAGACCACAGCGAATGAGGCTTCAAAAAGCAGAAAATAGGTGCTTTTGATAGGGCAGCATGACTAAGACAGAATGGGGTATAGCATCCCCCACCAAGGACTGAGGTTGGAGTCCCCTGAGTGAAAGAGCGGTGGGGGAAGGGAGACATGTGGTGCCCTGCTTTCCAAAAATAGGCAAATAAGTTCTGAGAATAGGAGGAAGGTTCGCATTGGTCACCTCTAGAGATCCCAAATAACCAGGCTCAGACACACACTCACTTCTGAGAACTCAAAACACCAGGTGGCTATCACACACCACATACAAAAATTAACTCCATATGGACCGAAGATCTAAATGTAAGAGCTAAAATATAAAACTCTTAGGAGCAAACATAGGTGTCAATCTTGGTGACCTTAGATTAGGCAATAGCTTCTTAAACATGACACCAAAACACAAATGGCAAAAGAAAAAAACATAGATTAGGCTTCATCAATATTAAACGTTTGTGCCCCTGAAGTTTTGTGCTTTTCACATGAAGAATGTGAAAAGACAACCCACAGTGGGAGAAAAATTTTGCAAATCACTATCTGATAAGGGACTTGTATCTAGAATATCAAGTACTCTTACAACTCAAAAATAAAAAGGCAAATAACCCAATTTTAAAGTTGGCAAAGGCTCTGAACAGACATTTCTCCGAAGAAGATATACCAATGGCCAAGGAGTACATGAAAGATTCCCAACATCATTAGCCATCAGGGAAATGCAAATCAAAAACCACAAAAAGATAATGTTTGATGTCCACTAGAATGGCTATAATAAAAAAAAGATGAGCAATGACAAGTGTTGTCTAGGGTACGGAGAAATTAGAACCCTCAGTACACCGCTGGAGGGACTGCAAAATGGTGCAGCCACTTTGGAAAACAGGCTAGCCCTTCCTCAAAATGTTAAACATAGTTACCCTTATGGTCCAGCAATCCCACTCCTAGACATATACCTAAGGGGATGGAAAGCATATGTCCAAAGAAAAACTTGTACATGAATAGGAGTATTTTTCATAAGAGCCAAAAAGTGGAAACAACCCACATGGCCATCACTGACGAATGGATAAAAAAAATGTGGTAGATCCATGCAATGGAGTATTAGAAACCAAGTCCTAACACATGCTACACACAACCTGGAGGAACCTTGAAAACACCATGCTCAGTGAGAGAAGACTGTCACTAAAGATCACATATCATAAGATACCACTTATGGGAAATGTTCAGAATAGGCAAATCTATTTTTGTCATAGGCAACCTATGACAGAAAGTAGATGGGCGGTTGCCTAGTACTTGGGGGTGGAGGGTGGGGTGGGGAGAATAGGACAGTAGTACCGATAATGGGGAAAGGGTTACTTTTTGGGGTCAAGAAAATGTTCCAAAATTAATTGTGGTGATGGCAGCACAACTCTGAATATGCTAAAAACCATTAAATTGTATACTTTATTTTTTGTTTTGTTTTTTTTTTCTTTGTAGGCAATTAAGTCAACTGCAACTATTTCAAGTCAAGTCAACATTTATTCAACTGCAACTATTTCTTCAAAGACCATTTCTTTATTCATTTTTAATAGGTTTTTCAATTTTCTTTTTCAATTTTTCAGTTACAGTTAACATACATTATACTAGTTCCAGGTGTAAACTTAGTGATTAGCCATTTATATAACTTACAAAGCGATCACCCTGGTTAAGTCCAGTACCCTTGTAACACCATATATAGTTATTACAATATGATTGACTATATTCCCTATTCTGTAATTTACATCCCCATAACTATTATTAAATTGTATACTTTAAATGGGTGAATTGTAAGATATGTGACTTTTATCTTAATAAAGCTCTTATCCGTATTTTTAAAAAGCACAGGTGGAGGGATGGGCAATAAGTAAAAGGGGAGCAGGAACTTGAGGGGTGATGGAAATATACTCAGTATTGACTATGGTGATGGTTCCTGAGGTGCACACAAATTTGTCCAACCTCATCAAAACGTGTGATGTAAAGTAATCTTCAATAAAGTTGATTTTAAAAAAAAACAACATATGGAGGAGGCAGGAGGAAGCTACTGGTTTGGCAGTGGTAGGCGTCAAGGCCACTAGGACAAGTCCTCACCATCTTCAGGGTACACAACTCAGATGGGACCTGGACTCCCCACCTCTATTTGCAGATAGGGCTCCCCAAAGCCCTCCTAGCTCTCTGGAATGCCTATCATTTCATCCCAAGCCCACTCCTCCTGACCCAACCTGCCTCCCCAGGCCAGCTGCCAACTCTAATCTCCACCTCCTGGGGGGCCCTATCACCCTGGGGCCATTCCTCCATGCCACCAGCTGCTTCCTTACAGATAACCTTGGCAGGGGCGGAGCAGCCCACGGTGGAGTGGGTGCTGCTCAGAGCAGATATCAAGACCTTTCTAGTGCTACCCCCAAGGCCTTGGCTTTCTTCCCACAACCAAGGCAGATGCCTGCAGGGAACTGAGTTGAGGAGACGCCCAGGAATGAATGACACTACTGTTTATCAACCGTCATGGACTCTCACAGCACACCCGTAGGGTAAATACAAAGGGTGCCAAAAAAATGTATACACACATTAAGAAAGGAAAAAACTATTAAAATCGTGATACTCAATATACACCGATAACAAAAGATGAATTCATGTCACGTTTGACTTCTGCAATTACAAGAGGTGCTCAAAGTGGTGACCGTCAGCGTCCAGACACTTCTGATTACGGCGAAGTACTGCTTGAGCAACGTTGACCAGTGTCCACTTGTGTACATATTTTTGGCACCCCTGGTATTATTTATTATTCCCATTTTGCAGACCAGGCAAATGAGGCTCAATGTTTTAAGGAACTTGCTAATGTCACCCAGCTAGAAAACTCATGGAAGCTGGGATTGGAACCCTCGCTGGCCTTCCTCCAAGACCCTGTTCCTCAATATGGAAGTTGGAGGAAGAGAATAAGCAGGGGAAGGGTCAAATTCCACATCCATCCAGCTCCTTAGGCTGAGCTCGTCAGCACAGCTCTCCTTCCCAGAAAACAAAGATTACCCTTCCAGCAGACAGCCCAGGGCACTTGTTGGTCAGATATGGTTAGGTTATCTTACATATGGAATATTAGAATTCCCACTCCCTCACTGGGGTCACACAAAGTCAAGTTTATTGAAATAGAAAATGGGAACCCTCATAGATGCCTGGCCTAGAGGAAAGGAGACTATTAACTTTGTACAAATGGGTGATTTGAAGACTTGGGGTTCAAAGGTCTGCAAAAGGAGTGCAGGCCCTATCCGTGCAATCCACTCTGTAGGTTCTCCTGTGCCTTATTTATCCTTACAGAAATCCTTCACGCGCTAGGTGTAGCACTTCCCTTCTAGAAGTCTCCATTTTACTCTAAACCTGAGGCTGCCAAGGGCTTAGGGCTGTGCAGGTCAGTCCCAGCATCTGGATGCCCAGCAGGATACCTGGCGTTCAGTGAAGACTGAATTAGATAAAGGAGGTAGAGTGGGCAGAGTGCCTGCGCATTCTCTAGATGAAGTTTGAAGAGGTCAAGAAGTGGCCTCTCCAACTCCCTGCCCCGGTTTAAGCAGCCCTGCTTTCTGTCCCCTCGGCCACCTGTCCTCTGGTGTCCACCTCCCCCCTCTGCTGCCCCTCCTCCAGCCTGGCTGGCCCCTTCTAGGGCATACCTGAGCACATGCTGGAATAGAAGCCCTCGTTCTTGAGCATGAGCAGCAGGGAGCCCCAGCCTAGGAGCACGGCAGAGAAGAAGAGGTTCTCCAGCACGGCTGTGCAGGCCATCCACCAGCGCCGCCGGTATGCCTGCTGCAGCGTGGGGGCCATGCTGGCCGCGTGCCTGCACAGGAACAGAGCGCTGAGCACAGGGCCCCCCAGCGGCCCCTGGTTAGGGTCCTGCATCGTGGTGGCTGCTGGGCCAGCTCACGAGGGGGTATTCATGGAGGCCCCATAGAACCCTGGGCTTCCCATCGGGTGCCGCTGAGCTGGCCCAGGGCGCACCGGCAGTGCCAGGGGCGCACGTGGCACTGAGTTCCCGCCGGGCCACTATCGAGACAAGGAAGGTCCTGTCTTCGCTCAACAGCTTGCTGGCGCGCTGCCGGGCTCTTCCAACCAGGCCAGGCCAGGCAAGAGTCCCGCTCCCAGGGGCCAAATCCGCACTTCCCCAAGTTCCCAGAGGTCGGCAAGGGGCAGGGCGCACTCTGAAGCCACCGCTGACCAGTATCCGGCCTCCCGCGCCAGAAAGGACCCCCCAGAAGCAACCAGGAGGAGGAAAGGGAAGTCTGACGCTGGCCAAAGACACCGTTGCCACACCCCACCCCCTTCCTGTGGCCCTTTAAGACCACTCCTCTGTTCTGGGGCTGGGCGACAGCAAGCCCTCCCCCTCTCCGCACCAGGCGGCCAGTGTCCCTACAGTCTCTCGATGCACGCCAACAGCTGCCACGTGGACTGAGACCCAGACCGGGCCCTCCTGCTCCCCCGGTGCTCCCGGGCGCCCCTCACTCTCACTCACTCTGTAGGGCGCAGAGCAACCCGCCGGCTCCAGCCAGGGGAGGGGGCTCCGGCTCCGGCAGGAAGTCCGGCGGCCGCTGGCTTTATAAGGGCAGTGGCAGCGGCCGGCCGGCCGGCGGGCGGGCGGGTGTGTTTACTAGAAGGGAGAGAGCCCGAGCTCCCCCTCCCTGCCCCGCTGCTGCCGCGGCGCGGGGGTGTGGAGCCGCCAGAAGGGTGAGACCGAGCAAAGCAAAGAGGAGCGGGACAAGGACGGGCAAGACGCAGGGAGGAAAGCACGAATCCGTTCTCCGGGGGGAAGGGCGGAGGTGGGAGGGGGGGCGCCTCAGTACCCTCGTCTGTGAAATGGGGCTTTGGGTTCAGGCGCTCCCACAGGTCCGTTGGACCCCCCCAAGAGTGTCATTCTGAACAGAGAAGTGCGGCTAGAGGGAGCCGAGAGGAAGCAGAGGAAGGGACGCGCTTGGAGGGACTGGACACGGCGCCGTGGGACCCAAGGGCTCAGGTAACGGGTTTCTCTTGTAGAGTCTGGGAGTGTCGGTGGCAGCGGACCCGGGTGGCTTTCTGCGGATGCGCAGGATGCGCAGCTCGGGACCCCGACACCCACCCTCTGCTCACCTCGGGTCGGGGGCGAACGCCCCTCCTGCAGCCGCGGACGCCTCTGGGAGCGCAGCGCCTGGGCGGTGCGTCCACACTCTCGGTGTCCGGTGTCCGGCGGGCCCAACCTTGACCAGCACCGGCGCTCAGCACTTATCTGCGCGCTCGAATCCCGGCGGCCTTGGAGGTTCAACCCGACAGCTTGGTGATATTCTCGCCGCTGCCACCCCCTCGGAACACGTCCGGGAGCTGGGAATCCTCCGAGCGACACCGGTTCCCGAAGCAGGACAGGGACGAAATGGACCGACGGAGTTGATAGTTGTTTTTATACCCGTCCGGAGCTGCACCCCGAGGTAGGGGCGGGGGCTCCCTTCCCCTCCTCCTAGATCGAGTTTCACGCGCACGTGACTCGCCCTGTAGTCCCCGGCACACGCCCCCAGCACCTAAAATTTCCACCCTCACCTCCTTCCCTCTCCCTCGACCCCCAGATCAATCAGGCAGCACCCCGTGTATCCTTGATCAAAACAACCAGATTGGGCTGCAGCAGACAGATCGCGACAAAAGGCAGGCTTGGGCAGGGCTTTAAACTGTAGTTGGGAGTAATGTTTTTTAAGAGGCAGAATGACACAGGTTTCTTTGGAGTTTGTCAGACAGAGTTCTGAGTCTTGATTTTCAAAATGAGGGACCTGCGTTACCTTAGGCAACTTGCTTTCTGTGAGCCTCGGCTTTCTCCTCTGTAAATTCGAATAACAATATATACTAGTAGTACCTCCCTACCTGCAGGGAGATGGGGTGGAATTGAGTGTTATGGTACTGGTAAAATGCTCAGCACAGCACCTGGTACCTAGTAAGCTTCATAAATGTTCATTATTGTTGCAGCTGTCATAATTTTTTCAGAAGGCCTGATGATGAGGTGCTTCCAGACACTTATTAACTGATCGATTCCTGGAACATTTCTCCACTTCCTGGGCCTGTTTCCTCATCTGTGAAACAGGGGAGGTGTCTCTACCTGGACTGGGGTGTGGACTTATATGAGATGACAAAGGCAAACCAATAGAGAGGTGAGGTTAATACAGTGTGTGGAAAGCAATGTTAGTGATAGCCGCAAAGCTCTGGGTGTGTGATCAACTGCCCCGGGGAAGTTCCAATAGGACATCAAACTAGAGGGCATCTCTGAACAGCTGAGCCACCAAGCCAAGATAAAAGCTGAGATTTGCTGAGTGGCTAGCTATATGCTGGGCGCTTTCCAAAGAAAAATTAACAGTAAATCCTCAAACCATTATGGTCTCGTTGAAACCTCACAACTTTTCACAGAGGGAAAGGACACGCGGCTAGCAGCTGGAGCACGATGGATGGAGGCAGGATGCAAACTCAGACCTGTCGGCTTTGCAGCGTGGCCCTTCCCATTCCATTTCTCCAGGTCCAAAGTGAAGGCATAGCAGTGGGAAAGGCACAAGGAGTTCTCTCTGGCAAGAGGGCAGTGTCTGGCTCTGATGGTTTCACATCTTAAATTTCATACTGTCTCCCAGAGCTTCCTGATCAAGGTCAAATTCCGTAGCTTAGCACAAGGGGTCCTAGAGTAAGAGATCTAACCCAAGATGGTCATGGATCCTTTGAGAATACAGTCAAGTGTTATGCTTCCACTCCCTGTGAAAATGCACGTGTGAACTTGCGCGCGCGCACACACGTTCCAATTTCAGGGTTATTGTGGACACCCTCCACAGGCTCCAGGGGTCCACGGACCACCACGGCTGTACTGCTTGCCCTTCCTCATCCCCAACCCACATTCCCAGGTTTTCCCCTCCTGAACGCCCTAAAGACAAGCGCCTGGTCTATTGTGTTCACTGCTGTATCTCCAGCACCTAGAACAGCCCTAAGAGGCATTCAGTAAGCACCTGTGGAATGAAGTGTGAAGCCATCTGCTTTCACACCTTGCCTTTGCACCTGTTCCTTCCTATGGATGGGGTGACAGAGTCCCTTCTTCATTTCTAAGGTATTCATCCTCCACAATTCACCTCAAGTTTCAACTCTTTCTGGAAGCTGTCTGATCTAGGCTGGCTTAGGAACCCGGCCCACCTACTCCCCGAAAACACTAATCTCTATTGAAGCCCTCACACTGATCTAGAATCAAGTTTACTTGCCTGCTTCCCTCCCCATGATATATAACTCTCTTGGGGGCAAGAACCACATTGTAGGTGGTTTGTATACCTGCCCCCTATCATGGGGCCTGGCATGTAACAAGCAAGCCCATGGTAAACATTTGTTGACTAAATAAAACGTGTGGTGGGAAATGGAGCTGAAAAGGCAGGCTGGGGTCAGTTTGGAAGGACCTCTGCAAGGCCAAGGACTTCCAGTGTTGTGAGATAAGTGACTGGAAACTTAGATTTTGTTTTCTTGTTTTCTTTTGGCTTTGCTTGTTTGTTCTGAAGGAAAGAGATAGCTATGGTTGGGTGTGTGTGTTTAATGAATGGAGAACATCCTGGGAAAGGAAAGGCGCTGATCCCCTGAGACGACCCACAGCGTGAGTAGAACAGTGTTATCACCTTGGATCTCCCGCAGGCTCCTGGCTGGAAGCTGCTTCCCAGCTGAGTGGACAGCACTGCTGGCTCAGGAGCCACGCAGGCTGGGCCTGCTCCTGGCTCTGCAGCTGACTAGTCACGCAGTTTTGCCCGAGTCACTTAGGCTTCCTGAGCCTCACTCCTCTAGTCTAGCGAGTGCCAGAAATGAAAGTTTATTGGGTTCCTGGACCCAATTCCAATGTTGAGGGGGTGAGGTTTCCCCAATACTGAGAAACAATTCTCAGGACACCAGCAGGGTTTCACAGAATTCAACTCAATTCTACCCAGAGATTAACAACAGATTCCACAGGTTAAGGGTTCAGTCCTACAAGACTGCCTCACCCCCTCCAAACCACCACAAGCCCAGGCTTTCTGGGCTTCTGACCAACTGGCTACAGACTGGAGGTTCCAAAGACCCCCTCCAACTCACAATGCCAATTGTAAGTCCAAGTTGTCACCTGCACTTCTGACCAACTGGCTGTAATATCAGAGGGTCCCACATTCCCCTCCTGGGGTTTGATTAATTTTTTTTTTTTTTAAGATTTTTATTGGGGAATCGGGGGAAGGGGAACAGACAAGTTGCTGTCCTTTTGTTCTTCAGCCTAGTTGTGGAGGACGTTGCTTCACTGGCCCAAGTTGGCACCATCATTGCGCTCTTCCCAGGTGAGGCAGATCAGTTGCCAGCTTCTGGACCACCATTCACTGCGGCTGCCGGCCCCTCACACTGGCTGCTGGCTACATACGGTAGCCCCTGGCAACCCACTGCAGCAGGAGCTGCACCCTACGCCGTAGCCAGCGACTCTCAGCAGCCCAGCTCCAGGTTGAGCTGTTGTTCAGCGTCTTAGCTGTGGAGGGCAGTGTCACTGGCCCTCATATGGGATCCGAACTGGGGCCCTCTGGCATCCCAAGCCAGCTCTTAACCATTGCACCACTCGGCCGGCCCTTGATTAATTTTTTAGAATGGCTCACAGAACTCAGAGAAACATATTACTTACTAGATCACTAATTTACTGTAACAGGATAGAACTCAGGAACAGCCAGATGGAAGAGATGCTCACAGTGTGCGGAAGGGGAGCCTTCCATGCCCTCTCTGGGCACCCACTGTCTCTGCAGCTCCACATGCTCACCAACCAGAAGTTCCCCAAACCTCGTCCTCTTGGGTTTCTTATGGAGGCCTCATTATGTAGAAATGATTGACTAAATGGTAGGGCTTTGGCAACTGATTTGACCTCCAGCCCCTCTCCCTTTCCTGGGGGTCAGAAGTCAGAGGGGAAGGGAGGGGAGGGCTGAAAGTTCCAACCCTCATATCACTTGGTTAGTTCTCCTGGCAACCAGCCCCCTTCCTTTGGTGCTTCTGAAAATCACCTCATTCACATAACCGAAGACTCTTTTATCACTTTCAATACTTAGGAAATGCCAAGGGTTTACGGAGCTGTGAGCCAGGAACTAGGGATGAAGACCCAATATACTCACTATATGAGGAATATATTTTGGTCATCTGAATGACCTAATATATGTTTGTTACAATATCTCACATTCCTTTATATAGCCCCACAGCTCCCTGAACATCTCTTGTAGCACTTAATACAACTGTAAAAGCCACTGATTTTAATCATGTCTCCCCCGTTAGACCTTTTATCTTGCTTCTTTGCCCCAGTGCCTAAAACAATGCTCCTCACAAGACTTCTCTTAGGTCAGACCACAAGAATTATGAAAATCCCTAAAATTACATGCAAAATTCTAAGTGCACATACATTTTTCTAACAACAACAAACCAAAAAGCAGTCTGTAGCTTTTGTTGGAGTTTCAAAGGGGGTTAAAACCTGAAAGAGGTTAAGTTCTCCCAAGGAGCTGAAGGAGCTGTCTTGCCTGCAGAATAGCACTGCCAACTCAGACGGCCACGCTGTGAAACCACCTTCACCAGGATATGAGTTCCAAGAGGGCAAGGGTCCTTATCCATTCTGTTGATTGACATACCGCGAATGCCCGGCATGGTGCCTGGCTCCTCAATGTAGCTGTAGAATGACCGTGGTCTCAGACAACTGGAACAGCTCTGAGAACTGTACGTGTACGGTCTCCTCATGGCTGCATCCCAAATTACCCCCAAGTGTAATAGCTTAAAACACTATCTCACTTTCTCTAGGTCAGGAGTCAGGGTGCATCGTTGATGGGTCCTTGATGTCAGAGTCTCTTACAAGGCATTCAGGGCTGTGGTCACCTGAAATCTTGACTGGAGAAGGGTTTGCTTCCGAGCTCACTCACTCGTGTGGTTGTTGGCAGGATTCGGCTCCTCCCTGGCTGTTGGCTGCCCTCGGTTCCTGACCACATGGGCCTCCTCACAGGGCAGCTCACCAGGGGGAAGCTTGCTTCATCACAGTGAGCAGGAGAGGGAGATGGAGAGAATAAGACGGCCGTTACAATCTTGTACCTTAACCACAGAAGCGGCGTCCCACCACCTTTGCTGTGTTCTGTTAGAAGCCAGTCTCTAGGTCTTTTGCAGATTCAAGGGAAGGGCGTTATGTGAGGGATGACAAGCGGCAGACAAGATACCGGGGGCCACTAAGAGGCTGCCTACACCAAGACATTTACCGTGGTTTCACATAGTGTCCAGCTCATCTGAACACCCAGAGCGGAAGGCACAGAACAAATGCCGACAGGTCAAGCAGACGGTGATGCAGGAAGAAATCAGCCGTGGGAGGTTTGGTGGACAGCCGAGTCCTCTAGTAGGCTGCTACCAAGCAGGAATGCAGGCTGACTTCTCAGATCTAAATTTGGAAAAGAAGCTAAAGTCCAGAGTTTTAGGAGACATTTCTTGGTTTTTGAAACCATGACAATGGAGCAAAAACTGAGGATTACGAGTTTTTGACCCTAAGCCATTCTAATCCCCTTTGTATGTTTCTTCCATCTCTGCTGCACCCACCCTCCCATCCCTTGCACTTAATTCACTGAGGGCAGGGACCTCGCTAATTCACTTTGGACAGTTTGCATGTAACAGGCCAAAAATAAACATTGTTAAATGAACTATGACATCACCGACATATGTCTCATTAGGGAGCATCGCCCCCAGTCCTAGAGGACTGGTTAAAAGTTGGTGCTGGTGTCTAAATATGTTGGAATCCTGGCTCTGCCACTTGCCAGCTGTTTGACCTTCAGCAAGCTACTTACTTTTCAGAGCCTCAGCTTCTTCATCGATAAAATGACAATAATCGCACCTGCCTCACAGTTGTTACAAGGGGGGAATTAACTGAAGTAAATATACTTATTAGCACACTGTAGCGACTCAGTAGCTGTTCTTACTGTCATCATCCCTTCTCCTCCCTGGCTCCCTGGCATGGCTCCTCTTAATCCATTAAACCATCGTCTACCACTATCCACCTGGCTGGCAGCTCGAGGGAGCCTCGAAAATGATAGATCGGTCCTTTTCACTGCCAGACTTCACATCCTTCAACAGTTTGCTGATCCCCTTAGTAGGAGAAAATCCGGACTCGTTCACAGCTCGCCAGGCTCTTTTGGAGCCGTGCCTGCCCAGCCCTCTTCTCATCTCACCACTACCTCCCATCACACTCAGCACGCCAGGCACACCCAAGCTTTGTTTCCTGAAGGCGCCACACTTTCTGCCACTTCAAAGCTAGTGCTCCTCTCTCCAGCTGGAACCTCCTCTTCCACTCCACCGGCCCCTTCTGCGTGTTCCAGCTATGCACTCAGAGAACTTCCAATGTTCCTAGCTAGATCCGAGGGCAGGTACAACATCAATTTTCCTCACCGCTCCCCTCTTCCTAGCTGCTGTAGAAGAGGCAAATCCAGTTGTAAAATTGGTCACAGCCGTGCAGATCCCGTGAGCAGACAGCGCCACCTGTTGACCCAGACTTGCACTTCAGTACCTAGAAAGGAGCCTTAGCTCTCTGCCCACCACTAAGGTAGACAGGTGGGCAATGGTTTTGCTGTAGCCTCACACCAAACTTAGCAATTGAAACAAAAAAAATACAGAGCTAGCATTATTGAGTACTTAATGTGAGAGAGCTAGGCACTCTCCTAAATGCTTATTAACACATTTAATTTTCACAACCACTCAGAGGTTAACTTGACTGCCATTTTGTAGATCGGGTAACTGAGGCACGGGGCGTAAATGCCGCACTCAACATCACACTGCTAGAGAACTTCACCTCAGGTGGTCTGGCTTGAAGCCATCCCTTTAAATGTGAAACTCACTGCCTGTTTCCTTCACTCCATGCCTGTGACCTGGTTAGGTCACAGCCCAGACACCACCCTCTACCATGCAGGCCCACTGCCAAAGTACTGCTACCACAGTAGCGTTGCTATCCACCAAAACCCCATGTGGAGTGAGTGACCCACACATTCTGAAAGCTGCACAACAGTCCAAGGGCACTCCTCAGGACAGGGATTAGATGTGGCAGCCTCTCCTCTGAGCCTCCAGTTCCTAAGGGGCCCCTCAGCCCAGCTGGGTGGATCGGATTGGATGCATGTTGTATAGAGAATGACCTGTGCAGTCCCTGAGTCAGGTGGAAGCTGCAGGGCTGTGACCACTCAGTCCCCTCTCTGGATCACTCACATCACACATGAGGTTGGCTCCCTTCGCATGGCCGATGTTGCCATTTAGAACCAAAAGGTGGGCCACTTCCTTCTTAAATCCCATCGACTTTTCACTTGCTCCTCTAAATATTCCTTTATAGCATTTGTGAAACTACCTGCCTCCACTTAATTTTGTTATTTAAGTATTTATGTATATCATTAATTACTTATTTGTTAATTATAATTTATTTTTATTAATCATTAATTTATAATTAAATTTAATATAAATATATTTTATAAATTATATAACATAAACAAATATACTTATAGAACATAACATATATTATTTAAATATGTATATTTAAATATATAACATATATAGCCATATATATGGCTAATACTTAAATACTTCCTATGCTCTAGTCATTCTTTTTTGAATACTTTACACATTAACTCACTGAATCTTCACAATAGCCCTATGATTGTCCCCATTTTACAATAAGGAAACTAAAGCACAATGAAATGACACGTTCAGAGTCGTACATCATCAAGCGGCTGGCCGGGAGTGCAAACCCAGGTCACTGTACCAGTCTACACTTTTAAATACTACATCAGACCCCCTCTGCTGCCTTTCCTTCTAAGTGCCAGGCACACTGCTTTGCACATAGTAGGTGTCAACAAACTTGTTTTAATATGTATATATATGTATATATATACACAAACACACATACAGTCACATTCCCGTGCGAAAGACACCCATACTTCAACCAGGAGAGAGCTCTACCAAACTCCTGGCTCCCACAGACGACAGCCTAGGCCTGGCAGTCTTCACAGATGACACCCAACGGGGGCACTTTAATTAGACAAGTGGGAAGGGGCAGGGTGCACCTCGGGGGTATCCTGTCTGGGGCCTCACACAGGCCCAGGGCTCTGCTGCACCCTCTTCATCAGCTCTTCATCCTGCATAGACAGCTCTGTCAACTTTTTGCCCATCCGCTCATGGATGTCCAGGTACTTGGAGACACACCGGTCCAGGCACACAGACTCGCCCTTGGACAGCTCTGCTTCCTTGTAGTGGGGAGGCACGCACTTCCGGTGGCAGGCACTGGTCATTCTGCGGGAAAGGAAGCGCAAAGTTAGGTGAGCAGTCCTGTGGCATACCAGGAACTCTCAACCATCCCTGCCCTAATCGACTGCTTTCACCTCCCAGGAAGGCAGTGTAAATCCTCACTTTGCACCTCAACCATCTTGGAAGGTCCTTGAGAGTAGGAACCTTGCCTGAGCCCATGTTTATGACTAATTAAAATAGGAACCATTAGTTGAGTACTGGCTATGTTCCAGGCATCATGCTAAGTGCTTGATTGTTATGTAATTCTTATGATAAACCTATGAGGTCAGCACAATCATTATTCCCATTTTATAGATAAGGAAATTAAGGCACAGAGAGAGCCTCAGGACCACATAGAGCTAGGATATGAACCCAGGTGATCTGACTTCACAGCCTACATTTAAAAATTATTGTAACATATATCCTCCAAGATAAACCAAGTAATCAAGAAAGGATAGGGCCGGCCGAGTGGCGCATTGGTTAAGAGCTGGCTTGGGACACCAGAGGGCCCTGGTTCGGATCCCACATATGAGGGCCAGTGACACTGCCCTCTACAGCTAAGATGCTGAACAACAGCTCAACCTGGAGCTGGGCTGCCATGAGTCGCCTGCGAGGGCGTAGGCTGCAGCCCCTGCTGCAGTGGGTTGCCATAAGCTACAGTGTGTAGCCAGCAGCCAGCGTGAGCGGCCAGCAGCCAGCGTGAGCAGCCGTCCAGAAGCCGGCGACTGACTGCCTCGCCTGGGAAGAGCGCAATGATGGTGCCAACTTGGGCCAGTGAAGCAAAGTCCTCCACAACTAGACCGAAGAACAAAAGGACAGCAACTTGTCTGTTCCCCTTCCCCCAACTCCCCAGCGCTGTTCCCATCCCCCAATTCCCCAATAAAAATCTTTAAAAAAAAAAAAAAAAAGGATACCTGAGAGCTTAAACCAATAAAAACAGCAGACATTTGCTGGCTGCTTACTACGTATTGGGCTTGATGTGAACACCCTGTCATACATTTTTACATTTAATATTTATAATGTCTATATGAGGTAGGTACTAGTATTACCTCCATTTGATAGATGGGGCAACCACTGGTCAAATAGCTCAAACAACTTGCCCAAGGCCATACTAGTAGTGATTGGTGGAGCTATGAATTGTTCCCAAATGTGCCACGTGGTCATGGGCACTAGTTTGGAGTCAGCCTGAGATACTGTACGTGACACTGCTAGTGACCAGCTGTGGACCCTGGGCAAGTTACTTACCTCTGGAAACCTCAATGTCTTCACCATAAAATTAATCCAACAGATTATTTTGAAGATTAAAAAAGATAATGCGTGTAAAATGCTAAGCGCCTGAGGTGGAGTACGACTTTAAGAAATGCTAATTTGTCAAAAGGTAAATGCTCAACTGTTCTTGGAACCTAACCAGACCCTGAACTGGAGTTTCTCTCCTACTTGGCTCCTTCATCACCAATTCCACCCCAGTCTAAATGTGCAGCTAGTTCTCAGTGACCCCATACTGTGTCTGCATTAGTCTTTAGCCATGGGGGTGGGGGAGGGGGGTGGGTACAGGCCTCTGGCTCGTCTAGATTGAGGAAAGCATATTTCAAGTCACGCACCTCTGCCCTTGGAAAGGGTGACTTAGGATCATTCTCTAAGACNACTGTGTCTGCATTAGTCTTTAGCCATGGGGGTGCAGGAGGGGGTTGAGTACAGGCCTCTGGCTCGTCTAGATTGAGGAAAGCATATTTCAAGTCACGCACCTCTGCCCTTGGAAAGGGTGACTTAGGATCATTCTCTAAGACAAGCAAGTGGTGCAGAGTAGGCTCTTACCTGTTGTACATATCAGCCATCATCTCTACCTCTAGCTCTGCAGCCAGCTGCTGGGCCCTAAGAGGATCCATCTCAGCCCCGACACCGTGGAGATTTCCTTTTGGCCTCCTAGTCCTAGGAGCAAACATCACCGTCAGCACCCACCCTTCCCATTCACTTTCCCCTCACAGGGTCTGGAGGATACGAAGACATCATATAGTATCAGACCGACAGAAGCCACTGACCTCATTGAGTTCAACCACCCCATTTCACAGATGTGGCAACTGAGGCCCCGAAGGGAACACTGCTTAGCCCAAGGTCATACAGCAGCACGTCGATAGCGGGGCTGCAAATCGAGCCCTGAGGCCCTGACGCCCATTGCCTCTAGGTCACCTCCAGAAGATCGAGACTCCGGAACAAAACACCCTAAAACCACGGGCCTGAACCTCCGGGGCCCTGCGAATTCGATCATACGCAGAACTAACGCGCCCCGGCCTCGGCCCAGGGATTGAAACTCGGAAATGGCGGCGCCATCATCAGGGTCACCTTAAGGTCAGAAGTCACTCATCTCGGCCTGGAACCGGTCACAATACCCCCGGTGTCCCCAGCTTTGGGCAAACGCGAGAAACTCACCCAGTGCCCAGCTAGGCAAGGCGGAAGCACGTGGGTCACCTCCGAGAGGGAAGTCCCGCCTCTTTGATCCGGACTCGCTTCCGGAATGAGGTACGAAATAGGCGGCGCTGGGAAATCCGCTACCATAGAGAAATCCGCTGCCGGCTGAAGCTGAAGACGAAAGAGATTTGCCGATGCTAGAGAGGACGCCCAGATACCATAGAGGCTTGGGCGGGGGGCAGAGCGCCTGCAGCGGGGATGTCGAGTCCCAGGGATTGTCGCCGAGAGGTTTGAGTGTATTGGTCAGAGCTCAGTGAACTTCGCCCCCGCCCCCGAGAGTAGACGCTTGAGCACAAATCAGGCGTGGAGGAGGAAGAACGCCCCCACACAACAGTTCTCAGATTGTGCTTCACATTAAGGTCACCCCTGGGACGCTTTAAAAAATCCCGATGCCCAGGCTGCACCCAATAGCAATTATATCAGCATCTCTGGGAGTGGGACCCAAGCATCAGTAATTTTTTAAATTCCTAGGTGAATTAGATGTGTATTAATATGCATTAGATGACATTAAGAAATTACTATAATTCTGAGGATGTGAAAATTGTGCTGTGGAAAAAAGACTATCTGTTAGAGATAAAAATAGATGAGTAAAATATAGCTAAATGTTAACAATTGTTAAATCCTAGTCATGGGTATATGGAAATTCAATATGCTGTGCTCTCCGATTTCCTGTACGTTTTAAATTTGGCCTAATAGAAGTCTAAAAATTAAACTATTACAATTGTCACCCCCAATAAACCTTAATTAAAAAAATAAGAACAACAATTATTTCTTTTTATCGAGCATCTGCCATGAGCTAGGGGCTTTAATTACATTGTTTTTGCTTGTTTTTCTTTTTTGTAATGATTTTTAAAACTTTTCATTTTGAAATAATTATAGGTTTACAGAAAATTGCATAAGTAGTACACAATTTCCTTTGTGCAACCAAGTTTGGGAACCAGTGCTCCAAGAAACTTTGTGTGAATACAGATGCAGGAGTACAGGTCTCTACACTTTCTCTGGGCTTGCAAAGATAAGGCACTGTTCCTGCTCACAGACATGTATACTTATGTTTTGTTCAACTTCTGTTAGATGCACAATAAAGAGAAGAATAAGCAATTTTGACTGCCACTAAAGCTAACCTAATGTGTTCAGTCACAGGAAAAGGAGGGTACTTGTGAACTCTTTATCTTTCAAGACAATGTTTTCCTCCATCTGTATCACCACCCACAACAACATCAACAAAATACCCCATCTCAATCCCTTGATTTTGTCAAGGGATTTTCCAGTAAAAGAAATTTAGGAGATGCAAATTAATGATGCAAGGGTACACGGTCCATTGGAGAAGGTGGGCTGGTCACTTTATTCCGTTGGTCACTATATGCTTCCCTAATTGTCTAAGAAAATCTGGATTTTCAACACTGGGCCCCATTACTGCTCTAAGGACTCACCTTTGTCAAACCCTGTGCTCTGATATTTTAAATTTGTGGTATTACATTCATTCAGTAAAGTATGTAAAATATACAAATATTAAGCTTAATTTTAAAATATACATTCAAGGGCCGGCCGAGTGGCTCAGTTGGTTAAGAGCTCACTCAAGAGTTTGAGCTCTGAGCAACAGCGGTTCGAGTCAGCCCGAGCTGAGCAGCCGCTGAGCTGCCAACAGGTGGCAGGATGGCTCAGCTAAAAAAATAAATAAAATAAAATAAAATAAAATATACATTCATTCCTATAACCACCATTCAGATCAAGATACAAAATACTTTCAGCACCCTAAAAAGTTATCTCATGTTCCTTCCAGTCAATACCCCGCTTCCTGCAATTGACCACTATTCAGATATCTATCACCATCAGTTTTGCCTATTCTTGAATTTCATGTAAGTGGGATTATACATTATTTTGTTTTGTGCCTGGCTTCTTTAGCTCAGTGTAGTGTCTGTAAGATTTCATTCATATTGTTTTGTTTATCTGTTATTCATTTTTTTTATTACTGTCTAGCATTTGATTGTATGAACAAGCCACAATTCATTTATTCATTCTCCTGTTGATGGACTTTGGGATTGTTTCCAGTTTGGGGGCTATTGTGAATAATGCTGCTGTGAATATTATTGTCTATATGTTTTAGTGGGCATATGTTGCCCTGGTTTTGCGTTTGAAAATATAGTCAATATATTATGGAATATTAAGAAATGGTATGGAAAAAGGAGATGGATTCTTACAAAAGGAAGCTGTTTCTAGAAAAGGTTTTAATCAGGTGTAATGAAAAGTTAAATATTATATAATCTCATTTAAATAACATTCTCAAAATGGAAAATTGTAGAGATGGAGAAGAGATTAATGGTTGCCTGGGGATAGAAGATGGTGGGCAGAAGAAGCACCTATAAAGGCAGAGCACAAAGGAGATCTCTGTAGGGATAGAATGGTTCACTATCCTGATTGTGAGGTTGGTTACACGAATCAACAAATGTGATAAGATATCATAGAACTGTACACACCATTGTGTCAATGTCAGTTTCCTGGCTTTGATATTGCAGATAGTTATGTATGATTTAACTTTTAGTGGAAGCTAGGTGAAGGGTACACAAGGCCCCCTCTGTACTATTTATGCAACTTCCTGTAAACCTATAATTATTTCAAAATAAAAAGATTTTTAAAAAATCATCACAAAAAAGAAAAAAACACAAAAAAGATACTGTAATTAAAGCCCCTAGTCCATGGTGATACTCAATAAAAAGAAATCATTGTTCTTATTTTTGTAGTTTTTAGACTTTTTTTTAGGCCAAATTTAAAATGTACAGAAAAGTGGGGAGCACAGTATATTGAGCTACTATATACCCATGACCAGGATTTAACAATTGTGAACATTAACCGTATTTTCTTCATCTGTTTTTATCTCTAACAGGTAAAGTCTTTTTTCCACAACGTCAAAATTATAGTAATTTCTTAATGTCATCTAATGATATTAATGACATCTAATGCACATATTCACTTGAGTTTCTTTTAAAAAATGCCTCTTTTTAAAAATTATGGTAAAAATACAATGTGAGATCTACCCTGTTAACATTTTTAAGTGCACAATACAGTGTTGTTAGCTTTAGACTCTATATTGTACAGCAGCTCTCTAAAACTTATTCATCTTGAATAACCGAAACTAGACCCAGTGAACAGCAACTCCACATTTCCCCCTCCTCCCAGTACCTGGGAAATCATTGTTCTCATTGATGATGACATTATTATCTTCCATGAGACTGTGTCTTTTCCTTCCTATGCTTATACAGTTGGGAATTGAGGACCTATAAGTAGGAATTTCCAATTGTCTCTGTCAAGTTTGTTGGGTATTTTTTGTAAAAGACAGTTTATATAGCTCCAGCCTTCCAAGTTCTCTGGAATCCAGACATGTCTTCCAAAGTTGCTGACCCATCGTCAGCAGCATGGTGAATCTCTGGCCCATCACTCTATCCAACGGTCATCCTCCCAGCCTCCCAGCCTCCCAAAGGGGAGCTATGTAAATGCTATTCACCATGGTCAGTATTGTCCTCTTGGATGGAACCTCAGCCTCGAGGGAAAGGATGTAGGGTTGTCACCCAGGATCTCCCCAATTAGGCCCTGATCACTCATGAGAGGTGTGGAGAGTACAAAGGCAGTCTAGTTGGACACCCCCCCACCCCCACCTCTCCAGATGAGCAGAAGGTGAGAGAATAAGAATGTCAAGGGCTTGAACGGAATGGTCGTTCTATGACCTTGAAGAGAAAGCCGGCACAGTCTTAATCACTGTTACCCACTATTACCATTCCTCACCACTTCTCACCTCCACTGCTGACAATCTGGTCCAAGCCACCACCATCTTGAGCTTGAGTTACTGAAGTAGTCTCCTAAGTGATTTGCCCACTTCGGTGCATGCTCCCCCTTCAGGCCATTCTCAGAACAGCAGCCAGAGTGATCTCATCAAAAATCTCAAGTTAGATCAAGTCACTTCACTACCTAAAACACTCCAAGGTCTTCCAATTACAGAGCAAAAGTCAAAGTCCTTGAAATGGACTCTAAGGCTCCACACGACTGGGCCCCCCACTGCCTTTTATGTCCTACTAGTCTCAGGTCCATCGCTCTGCCCCAGTCATGCTGGCCTCTTTTCTATTAATCAAACACACCAAGCACACTCCTAACTTTCCACTTGCTGTTCCATCTGCCTGGAGTGCTTCCTTTCCAGGTAGCTGCGTGCCTCACTCCCTTCCTTCAGATCTTTGCTCCAATGTCACCTTTTCAGTGACACCTTCCTTGACAGCTCTAAGTATATCACACACATACCCCAAACGAAACACTTCCTCTTTGCTTCATTTTCTCCTATAGAACCTATCATTACCTAATATAGCATATTCTTTGATTTGTTTGCTGTCTATCTCCCCACACTAAAATGTAACCGTAATGATCTGGTTTTGCCTCTTTTTTTGTTGTGTTCACCGCTGGTTCCCGGCACACACTAGGTGCTCAAAAAGCATTTGATCAGTGAATACATTAATTGTCTAAGGAAGTTTTAATGAGTGCTACGATGACCTTATATTTTGCGGTCTGCAATACCTAAGGGCAATAGGGAAAGAAGAGAAGTGAGTTTTAATTTTAAAAAAGGACAGCAGGTCAGGGAGATATATAGAAAAGCTCACCCATCTTGGGCAGATAAATTCTAGACAGATGAAGGAGATATTTTAATGCCAGAGGTATTAATACTCATCAATATTGGGCTATTCAACCATTGGTACCCAAACCTCGCTTTCAGATCATCCTACGCATGGGTCCCCAAGCTCCAATTCCACACTTTTATTAACTAATTCATTCATTTATCCCATATATATTTATTGAGCACCCCATACGAGCCAGGCAATTTGCTAGTTCCTGGGCATATAGCCATTAGCAGAGTAAATGCCTCGTGGAGCTTAGAGTCTAGTGAGAGAGTCAGATCATAAGGAAATGAATAAGGCTATTTTTGATTGAAATAAATATTACGAACAAAATAAAGCAGGCAGAAGTGATGCAGAGGAACTGAAGGTCATAGAGCCCTCTCCGAGGAAATGAAATTTGAGCTGAGAGCTAAAGAATGAGAAGGAGCCAGTTTGCAAAGAGCAGAATAAAAAAGGTTACAGCCCGGAGTGTGGAACGGAATCAATGTATCTCAGGAACAGGAAGGAGGCCCGTGTGGCTGCAGTTGTGGGGACTCGGGGAGGGGGTGGGGGAGTCAGAAGCTTCCTTCCTAATGGGGTGTTGCCTGTACACATTCTCCAAAAGTAGCGCCTTTCTTAGGTCACAGGACACACAGGGAAGGTACAGATTTGTTTGGTTTTTCTGAGCGAAATCTCAATTCAGCACAAAAATTTGTGCAGAACCTATTGTGTATCAGTCACGTCAGTCAAACTAGAACTCAGCTTTGTCTTTTCTAGGCTCTAAACCCAATGGATCACCATCAGCTTGGCCTATCAATGTTCCCCCTTTTGCCCCTCCCCCCTCCAAAGCTTTGTCCAATATGAGCCCAGAGACATCCTCCCAAGTCCCCTCCAGCAGCTGTCCCATTCACTCCCTCCTTAGCCCACCCTGCAGCAGCTGCTTTTGTCTGAGGAAGAGTAAAAGGGATTCTTTAAAGAAATGAGGTGGGGTGGGGAGCAAAAGAGGCCTAGCCTGGGCTCTGGATGAACAGGGGAGGCCAGAGGGCTGGTACCCATCCAAATGGGCCTGCAGATGGTTTTTCAGGTCACCAGGGCCAGGCAAGTCCATTGGGAAGAAAGATGACCGCAGGATGCGTGCTGCTGGGGTCAAGGCAGGAGGGACACACTGTGATTGAAAGGTGCCACCTGTCAGGTCTTCATGGGAAATCTGAGCCTTCCAGGCCAGGGGAAAGTGTTGTGCCAACAGGGCAGTAAACAATGCTCTTCAGAGGCCCAAGGCTCTTGAAGTGGGGGTGGGGTGGGGTGGAAGGAGGGAGGAAGGTGGAGGGGGGCAGGAACAGAAGAGCTGGGGGCTAGAGGCCTCCCGGGCTTAAACGCAGCCCAGGAGTGAGGCCACTCAGCTAGAAGAAGGAGACAGCTCCCAAGCTCCGGGCACAAGCCCTACAGGTAGGGGAAGCTCTGGGCCCCTTTCTAAGGCCCCCCATCTGCTAACCTCTCTCCCACCTTCCAAAGGTGGGAACCTCTAAGCAGGGCCCCACAGTTGGAGAAATCTAGGCTTTTTTCTAATTCTCTCCACCATTATGTCAACTCTCTTTAGATGCCAGAGCTCAGGGACTCACCCCTGGGGTGTTGGGCAGCCCGAGACCTCCTACAGAGCAGGCTGCAGGTGGCCATCCTTGCAGAGGACTTGGCTAGTAAAGAGTCTCACCAGTTCCGCTGGGTAGGGAGGCAGATTGTCTAAGCAGTTAAGAGCTGGGGTGGAGGATGGCGAAAGCCCCAGGACCACCTGAAGGCAGACGGGGTGACAGTGGGTCAGGAGGTATCAGCAGAACCACCAAATGTCATCTGTACCATTTGGGGCTCAGGCTCCTGGGTTCTTTTCCTTTGGTTCTGCCAAGAGCCCCAGGGAGAGGGAGGGAGTAGCTGTCTGCAGTGCTGCTTTGGACACGACACAGAGACGGCATGAAGGCTTCCTGGGGAAGGAAGGAGAAGGAAAGTGGAGAGGGAGGAAGGAAGGTGAAGGCCTACTGTGCCTTTAGAAAAGAGAGAGCTGAACTCCTCAGCCATATCTGAGTGTCCTCCCCGACCAGTGGGGAGCCCCTCGCTCGGGGCTGTTGCCTTTGAAGGAACACTGGTGGAGGACCTGGTGGGAGCAGCATCTTTGGCACAGGCTCCAGACTGGTTGCCAGGAAACCTGGGTTCTAGGTATGGTTTGGCCACTTAATTATCCTATGACTTTCGTCAGGGACTTCAATTCCCCCAGCTTCAAATTCTTAATGTGTACAATGGGGCCATTGACACCTATTCCCGAGGCTTCGAAAGTGGGGGATGAGTTCGGAAAAGCAGGGCGCTGGTGTGAGCTGTAAACTGCTCTCGAGTTGATAATGCTGGAGGTGGGGGGTGTTATCCTGGTTTCTGGGCTCTGTGAGTTTCTTCACTCCTTGTCTATTTATGTCAAGCCTGCAGGGTGGAAAGCTGAGGTGATGAACACACAGGATGGCCGAGGCGTGTGTGTGTGTGTGTGTGTGTGTGTGTGTACACCTGCCCTTCCCGTCCACCACGCTGAGTGTGTGGCATAGATGAAAGGAAAGATGGTTGCCATATGCCACTCTGTCTTAGCCAATAACTACCACACCCTGAGGTATAAAAAGGGCTTGTTATCGTCTTACCGGCATTCAGTTCTCTTTGCCTTGTCTTACCAACGGAACAGCCTCCTGGCTGGGTCAAGGCCTTAATCTGGTACAGAGCTGGGCAGAGGCCAACCTACACTGTAAGAGCTGAGGTGTGCTGAGTGCGCCCCCCATGCCAGGCACGCTTCAAAGCACTTCCTAGCGTTGGCGCCCTGAACCCTCCACCATCCCTGGGCAGTGAGACCTATTTTTACCTCCAGAAATCAAAACACGAGGAGGGCCAGTAGCTTGCTCAAGGTCACACAGTTAATCAACAGTGGGAGCTGGGAATCCATCGTAGGAAGACGCCCAAATCAATGATTTTCTCCGCTACCCCATACCACCTTCCAAACGAGAGCACAGGACAGGAAGGGGTTGTGTGGATCCTTCAGACCAGCATTTGCCAAACACAGCACAGCTCAAGGTGTGTGTGTGGGGAGGAGGGGGGGGTAGGAGAGGGGGGGGAGCTCCACAGAAAAAACAACAAACAAAAAAAGGGAGCAAGAAAAAAAAAATCCATGGTCAAATAGGTTTAAGGAAAAGTGAGTTAAATAAGGCTAAGCAAAGTTAAGGTTTCTCTACTATGGGGTATCTATTTAAGTGCTAACAAAGAATATTTCTAAAAGGGTAAAGAGTAGATTCTTTCTGGAACAACCTTAGCCAGAGAATAAATCCACCCCCACCTCCCAGGCCTCTATTAATGTCTGAGGAGACCCTCGTTGTCTACAGTTTGGAGAACCTGATCTAGACCAATCCTGTCATTGTCAGTGGAAACTGAGGCCCAGAGAGGGCCTTGCTCAGATCTCAGAGTGAGTGACTAGGAGGTGGGGGTCAAGGCCAGCTCCATGGCCTCCTAGCTCCCTGCTGATGTGCATTCCATGTCCCAGCTCATCTGTTCCCCCCTAACTCTAGTCCACGTGGGAGCTGCTGAACCGTGAAGAGGCTCTGGCGGGAGGGTGGGACTGGATGACAGTGCAAGCATCTTTGCAAATCCCAGCCTGCATCCTAGGAAATGGTGGGGGCACCAAATCCAGGGACCCCAGGTGGCATGAACAGAGCCCTGGCCCCCTTCTGCCTGTCCTCCTGCCTCTGTCCCAATTACCCAGGTGCCCTGGTACTAGCACCCAGAACGATAGCACTGCGGAGGGCAGGAGGTATTTTTAGCCAGTGACAGGAGTGTCTACTTTTCTTTCTGTCTGAGTCATGCCCTGAATATTATTTGGAGATTGTTTTCTTTGTAAACAGACCCCCAAGAAGGGCAAGGGGATGAAGGAACTGGCCCTGTCCCCCCACCCACCTGTTTTCGTAAACCCTAGAGTATATACAATACTTGAATAGGAAACCCCAAGTTAAGGTATCATAATCTGGGCCCCACCCCCCACCTTCCCCAAGCAGTCGGAGGGTCAGATTTCCCTGCAAAGGTTAGGGAGAGTACATTTCTATTTTTCGCCAAAGGAAACTCTTCCATGCCCAGTCCTACCTTCTCCAAGAACCAGAGGCTGGCACACCTGGCAGAGACCCAAAGACCAGCTGGCCCAGGGTTTCCCAAATTTCGGGCATCTTTACACCATCTCCGTGATTTAGCTGCATCTGTACCACCTGTGTTCTGCTTTCCTGAATGTTTTCGTCTGAATTAACTTATTTTTAAATTCAATACATGTATTTTTAAAAGAAAGTTTATATCACTTTGGAAATGGAAACTCAATTAGCCTTGGCCAGAAATAGAAAGTAGCTATAAAAATAAATACAATGGAGACAAAACAGTATTATTAAGTTCTGCCTAGAAGTTCCCGCCTGCTTTGGGCTCTGAGTCTGAGGCTAGCTACCTCCATTAAAAAGGGGAGAGTAGCACCTGCTCCACAGGTGTTCCCGGATGCTATTGCAATATCGGAGTGTAACTGTCTCATTGGCTTAATCAAAAAGAGGCAAAATCACTGAAAAGGCATTATGTGACCTAACATTCTTTAAAGTCCAAGCTACAACCAGCAGAAGGCTGGCAGGTGGACAGCACCCAACATCAAGTCAGCGTGGCCCACACCCCACCTCTGGGGAAACAGCGCTCTGCCCCTTCATTTCACCCCAGGGAAAGCGGGTGCTCGGGTCATATGTCCAAGTAGGGGGTACCCAGGACTGAAGCGCAGGCCTCCAGACTCCAGGCCAGAGGGGCCTTCACCTTAGGCAGAGGCGGGGCATGACCAGGCCTACTTGTCTTCTCTTCCCAGAGATGGAGCAGAAGGAAGAAAAGCCCTCTGAGGATGGGACCACTGTCTCCCCAACCACAGGGGCTCCGGAAAAGGAGGAGGCCAAAGGCACAGCGGGGAGCCCCATCACAGAGGGGCCTCCGGATGGGGCAGCAAAGCAGGAAAGAGCTCCAGCCATGGACAATGTCTCCTCTGAATTCCAGGGGGAGGCTAATGGGTTGGATGAGCTCAAAGCGGAGGCCACCGTGGAGTCTGAACTTCTCAAGGAGGACGGAGGGAAGGAGGAGACGACGGCCACTCCTCAGGAGCTGACTGATGGGAAAGCAGAGGTCAAATCTGAGCCCGGGGAGGCTGCGGGAAAAGAGGAAACGGCATCAGCCTCTGAGAAGCAGAAGGCCGACGAGAAAGCACCCAAACCCGGATCCAGGGAGAAAGCTGGAGTGGATGACGAGGCCCAGGCTGAGCCAAAGCAGGCCGCTGCGGAGCAGGAGGCCACCACAGCCTCTCGGAAGGACAGCAACAAAACAGATGAGCCCAAGGCTGAAGCCCAGGAGAGAGCTGGTGCCCCAGGGGTCAAGTTGGACTCTGACAAGCCAGCTCTGGAAGATGAGGCCAAGGCTGAACCGCAAGAGGGTGACACGAAGGAGGAGGTGGTGAGTGAGACAGAGCAGAGAGGAGGCCCCACACCTTTCTAGAGTCCTCTGCCCCCTGGGGAAGCAAACCACCCCCTCACCCCACCCCTGCTTTATTCCCTAGGGAAAGTCCAGTCTTCCTTCTACTGACATCAAGAGCCTGGGGTAGGGGGTGCGGCACTGGGTCCCAGGCTGCCTTCCAGATCTTTCTGAAGTCCTCACAAAGCCTTGGCCAGGTACTTGTGGGACTGTGAGCTCACACAGAGCGTGTTGGTTCCAGGAGCCAGGCAGTCCCTGTGAAGAGCAGGACCAGGGTGTGGAGACAGAATTGGAGGAAGGGGCTGGGGTGACTCCCAGCTCCCCCGAGGAGTGGCCTGAGAGCCCCACAGAGGAGGGCCACTGCCTCAGCCCAGGTGAGTGAGAGCCCAGGAGCCCATGGGTTGCTGCAGGGGCTACCCCGAGGGGGTGTGCAGGGAGCGCATCACAGGTCACCCCACTTCTCTCCCTCCAGATGGGTTGGGCCCAGACGGCGAAGCTTCCACAGAGACCAGTCCTTCTGCCAGGTAATGTCCAACCCCGGGGCACCGGCTCCAGCTCCCCCTACCACGTGCTCCCTTCAAAATCTACCCTCACCCAGGCCTGGGCCTCCTCAGCACCTGATTTCTAGACTTCCCAGAATTCCTGGCATGCAGCCTCTTTCCCAGGGCAGAGCCCAGGAAACTGAAGGAGCCAGAGAGTGGAGCCAAGGGAGCGTGAGCACCCCTGGCCCCCCTCCCACTCGCTGCTGAGGCATCTTATGGGGCTCTCAGCATGTTTCCATGGTGTCAGCACCATCCATAGAGCGTGAGCAGAAAGCCTGACTTTGGACAACGACTCTGTGACTTATCAGTTGTGTGACCTTGGCCATGTCACTTCGCCTCTCCTTACCTGTGAAGTGGGCGCAGTAATCGTACCTCCCTCGTAGGATTATTGTGGGGCTTAAATGGCAAAATGTATGTAAAGCACTTAGCACAGTGCCTGCTGCCTGGTGGGTGCTGGGTCAAATGGGAGATTTATTCTTGCCATTGCGCAGCTTTAGTCATTAGAAGAATCTTCCTTTATTTTGACCTGAAATCGACCTCTGTGTCACTTTCTTGGGGAAAGCCAACTGGTGAAGATTCACTGAGCACTCCGGCAGTTACGTGGCAGGCACAGCGGGGAGCTCTACGTTCCCCTTCTTGCTCAAGCCTTAAAACCACCTTGTCAGGTAGGTATTGTTGTCCCCGTTTGACAGATGAGGAGGTTGATGCTCAGAGAAGTGACATGTCAGTCCCAAGATCACACAGCTAATAAGAGGCAAAGCCAGGATTCCAACTCAGGTCAGACCTCAGACTTGTCCTAGTTCTGCCCACGCATCCCACCAGACCACAAGCTCCCCAAGTTAGGCTGAGCCTCATTATTCCTTCTCAGGCCCCTCCCAGTGCTGGACACAGAGGAAACTTGTGTGAGAGTGGGTGCCATAACTGTGCATGCCCCTTCAGACTGCAGGGACTGTCTCCCTCCCAGCGAGTCCCCGCCCCTCCCTGCACCCTGTACCGGCTGGTCCCAGCCCGTCTCACATGTCTCTGCACCTTTCCATGTAGTGAGTCTTCATCCAGCGAGGTGCCCCAGAGTCCCACGGAGCCCCCTCCCCCGCAGGAGAAGAAGGAGAAGGCACCGGAACGCAGGGTGTCAGCCCCTGCCCGGCCCCGGGGGGCCCGTGCACAGAACCGCAAAGCCATCGTGGACAAGTTCGGCGGGTAGGAGACAGGCGAGGAGCTGGCTGGGCTGGCTTTCTCCAGGAACCGTGGTTGTGGTTGGTCTGCGGGAGGGCTGACACTGGGTCTGGGGCTCCTCCCTGATGGGGCCCTCGGTGGCCTCCGCCCTCTCTTGCCTGACATCCCCCATCCCTCCCTCACAGGGCAGCCTCGGGCCCCACGGCCCTATTCCGGAACACGAAGGCGGCGGGGGCAGCCATCGGCGGTGTCAAGAACATGCTCTTAGAGTGGTGCCGAGCCATGACGAGAAACTACGAGGTGGGGACGGCACAGGGACCCTTCCCCAGGGCGGCAGTGCCGCCGAGGCTCTGAGAGGGTGGGAGGCTGAGAGGGGGCCATCCAGGCCCCGTGGCCGAGGCTCACCGAGGTTCCGGTCCACTTGCCCACAGCACGTGGACATCCAGAACTTCTCCTCGAGCTGGAGCAGCGGCATGGCCTTCTGCGCCCTCATCCACAAGTTCTTCCCCGATGCCTTTGACTACGCCGCGCTGGACCCCACAAAGCGCCGGCATAACTTCACCCTGGCCTTCTCCACAGCAGAGTAAGCCACAGCCACAATGCAAAGCGGGTGGGGGTCCCAGGGAGCCTGGGGCCAGGGCTGCACTCGCAGGATCAGGGAGCGGCTGTGGCCGGACGTTCATGTGTAGCCTGCAGTGTTTGATGGCCAGGAAGCGTTTCAGAACAATGCAGTGGCTGAAACCGGCTGAAACTAAAATTGCCATGCTTATACTCCAAAGGGTGACACAGATCATAAACACACACACATATGAAATATACCGCCAGAGGACAGGTGCCGTGAAGACAATGCCAGCAGGGTGAGGGACACAGGAGAGGCGGGGCGGATCTGCTGTTTTACACGGGGCGGTGCAGAGATTGGGCTCAGATTCAGACTCTGCCATTTGTAGGCTGTGTGAGGACAAGGGTCCCTGTCCCATGCCCACCTTGTAGTTTCTTATCCTGGCCCAGCACCACTCTAAGAACAGGCTCCTTTACCTCTCTGAGCCTCCATATTCTAATCTTTAAAATCAGCATGAGTTTTTCTCTTTTGCAGGGCTATTGTGAGAATTAAGAAAATAACTAAGTAAGGTCCCTATAACAGTGCCTAACAAAAGGTAAAGGCTTCAAAAAATATCTTAGCTGTTGTTCCTGTATTATAATGAACGATATCACAAATGTTATGATCACTCTATTTCACTCTGGAACCTGGAGGAGGTTTTGTTGCTGAGACTCACATAGCTGGGTGCCAGGGGAGGTGGCAGGATGGAGAAAGGGGTGATACTAGAAAAGGGTGTAAGGAACAGTATGGCCCAAGGGAGGAGGACCTGAGGGGCAGATGTGACTTCCGGGTCGCCAGGGAGGGGAAGGCGCCCCGCCCCCACTACCAAACACCAAAACCAGCCTCAGCCAGAGACCTTCATCTCTGCCCACCGGCAAGGCCTGCATGTCCCCTGATGGCCTTAAAGCTCCTTAGCTTGTGCCAGGAGCACCTGTTCTTTCTGGCCCCAGAGAGAAGCTTCTAAACTGTTCGGTAAAGATAGGACTATGCAGAGGGCGTGGCCAATGAGGACAACTCTGGGGGCGTTTCTAAAGCCCTGGGACCAGGAGGCAGTCACTGGGGGTGTTAATAGCACCTTGGCCCAGGAGGCCACGCCCTTTGGCCCTGTCCAGCCCTGGCCACCAACCTGTAGGGAAGCCTGGGGCAGCAACCTCCCCCTCTCTGGGCCTGCGTGTCCCCATGGGCAAAATGAGACGATCAGATATTCATCTGTGCTTTTCAAGTGGGGTTTTGTTTATATTTAGCAGATTCCTCCAACAAAATATTAAGTGAATTCCCAACATATAAAACAGTTTAAGGAGGGACCTTTTTAGGTTGGGAGGGGGTTCCTGAACTCAGAGCCCAACCTCCCTTCCCAAGATGGTCCCTGAAGTATGTCTAAAGGGGCCTAGGACAAAAAGGGTGCCATCTGGTAACCACCAGACTTCAGGTTCCAGAAGATTCTCATTATGCCACCAAGGGAGGGGGTGAATGCCCTGGGGTGGGGGGCTGAGGGTCAGGAACACCATGTCCTAGACTGAGAAACACCTTTAATGACGGTGACAAGCCGCATGGACCGAGAGGGACTAGCTGCCGGGCGTTCTGCTAAGTGCGGTCCTTGGATGGCTTATTTGATCCCCACAGCAATCCCTGAGTGTGGGTACAAGTAGAGAGGTTGTGGGACATCCGAGGCTCATACAGGAGGGCTGTGGCAGAACCAGGATTTGAACGTGAACTAGTCAGGACTGAGAGCTCTAAGTGAATATCAGAAGGGCCTGCAGCTCCGTCCTGACCAGATGTCCCTGGCCTGTGGGACATAGGTCATTGTCCTCCTGCAGCCGCCTCGCCTTGGTTCCAAGCCAGGCGGAGCCACGGGAAGGCGGAAATGATGACAACGGCTGACAGGAGGCATCAGGCAGCCATGAAAAGGGGAGGATGTGCTGGGGACCGTGGGGATGGAGTGTGGAAGATAGAAGTTGAGGTGCTGAGTTTGCATCCTGCCGCCTCCTCCTCCTTAGCTCTGTGACCCTCACAGCTGACTTAACCTCTCCTGTGGGTTGGTGTGAAGATTAAGAGTGCACAGTGAGGGAGCCCCTGCCTCGGCCATCGCACCCCATAGCCCCTGTTCTAGAACTTCCCTCTGAGTCCTGTGGAGTCCTGGGATGAGAGTGGGGAGCAGCCAGTGCTGAAGCCCCCGTGGGCTCAACCGGCCATGCCGCTCCCCAGGCCCAAGGGGAACGAAGCTTCTGCCTCCGCTGCGTAGAGGGACAGGACCCACACTCAGGAGCCGAGAGCGCTGTGTGGGTTGCAGGGAACTTGTCCCATTCTTCGAAATCCTCTCGGTGTGCTCCTCTCCCGGCACCCAGGACAGTCCGGCTTAGGTTTCAGCCCAGCTGTCTCAGCCCCAAGAGAGAATGTCCGCTGGGACCCTGGTTTCTCCTCCTGCCAGCACCCATAGCGGTTTGGCAGGCTGGGGCTGCTGAGGGCTGGCTTCGGGGCAAGGATGCCAGAGGTGTCAGGCTTGCCTGGGGTTGAGTCCCAGCTGTGTCACTCACTTTGACCTTGGGCAAATCACCAAACCACTCTGAGGCTCCGGTTCCTTTTCTGCCGAGGGGAGGCGTAAATGAGACCATTCAACGGGAAACACTTGATAAAGCACCTGGCACACAGTAGCGAGGTCCCAGCAGTGGTTAGCTGAGATTATCAGCCTTAGCAAAGCCAGGAGTGGCACATCGCCCCAAAGAGCAGCTGGGAGGTTAGGAAAAGAGGACCTGCCGCTAGCTTCCATGGAGTTCTTCAAACACATCTAGCACATGCTACAATGTTTCCACTGCTTGGAACCCTCTTAGAAGACATGTGTCCGTCTTCTACCATGAGAATGTCAGTGATATGAGAATGGAGAAGTTTGGCTTTGTTCAGTGCTGAATTCTGTCAGTAAAGACACAGAGACTGAATGAAGATGGAAATGGGGCAGCTGCAAGCCAACGCTCTGGCTAGGACGGGGGTTCTGTCCTTTAAACTCTTCCTGAGGGGTCTGGCCTTCCAGAGGACAAACATAGGAGCAGGTGGAAGGGGTGGGTTAATGTAGAACTAGAGACCAGAGGATCTCGCTCCCACATAAGGATACAGTGTGATGAAAACGTGGGCTTTGGAATCAGACCAAGCCGAGTGTGAGTTTTGACGCTTTCAGGGCCTCAGTTACCGTATCTGTACAATGGGATGGTTGGCCTAGCTGACCTCCCAGTTCCGACACATACAGTTCGCCCTTGCTGGGCTGCTCCCCCGCTTTCCCTAGCTCCCGTGTCCTTCACCTTTGGCTGCCTGCTCCTCATCCCACCCCACCTCTGCCTCTCAGGAAACTGGCCGACTGTGCCCAGCTGCTGGAGGTGGATGACATGGTGCGGTTCGCAGTGCCCGACTCCAAGTGTGTCTACACCTACATCCAAGAGCTGTATCGCAGCCTCGTGCAGAAGGGACTGGTGAAGACCAAGAAGAAATGAGCTGCCCGACCCTGTGGGCAGAGGTGGGCAGGGTGCCAGCTGACCAGCCCCAGCCCCGAGGCTTACGTCTGCTCCACGGAGACCAGAGAGGTGGGCCTCGAGCAAAGGCAGGTGGCACCTGTGTTAACTGCATTAAAAGTATTTTTGTAAAACGCTGTGTGGCCCCTCAGTGCTCCCTCCCTGTTCCACCCAGGAACCTCTTTCATTCTGAGAAAATAAACTCCAGCTGCCAGGGTTTCCCACTTGACACGGTTCCTCCCCTGACATAATCTTTTCAACAGCCATGACAGGCATTTGAAAAAGGACAATGGCCTGGGTCCCACCACTAACCAGCTGTGTGAACTTGGGCCAGTGGATTAACTTCTCTGAGCCTCAGTTTACCATCTAAATGGGAATAGTAGGAGTTCAAACGTCATGGAGGGATTTGAAGGGTTGAATGATAATGAAATAAGCCAAAAGCCTTGCCTGGTGCCTGTCACTTAAGTGTTCAGTAAGTAGTGGCCAAAAGTCAAAACATCTTTTTTTTTTTTTTAATTGGGGAACAGTGTGTTTTTCCAGAACCCATCAGCTCCAAATCGAGTAGTTGTTTCAATCTAGTTGTGGAGGGCGCAACTCAGTGGCCCATGTGGGGATCGAACTGGCAACCTTGGTGTTATGAGCATGGCAAATCTTGCATTTTGAGCCATTGGTGGCACTTCTCCCAATGCTCTTCCCTCTTCCCACACGTCTCCGATTAGCGAATCCCAGGGCAGGGGCTAGAGTAGACGCTTCTCTAGAAACGTCACCCAAACTAGGCTGGTGGGGCCTATAGTGATTCCTTTGACTCAAGATATCCCACATGCTGTCTCTTAAAAAACGGTGGTTTTCCAGTAGCTTCGAACCATTGCACCCAGAAAGTTCTTCCTTTGGGGTAAATTATTCCCTCCAACTCTGGCTGACATCTGGGCTTGTTTTTTTTTGTTTTGTTTTTTTTCATTGCTCATTAGCGATGAACCACTGAGCTGGTTATGTCCTGCTAACAATCCTGTCTGGCTTTATCAGCCACTTGGAGAATGTGCGCTGATGAGAACAGCCCATCACAAAAACAAAACAAGCCAGCTTGGCACTGCGGCAGGAAGTGTGGACTCTGAGGGGACCTGGCGATCCACTGAAGTGCTCTGTGCCTCTCTTGCCTCGTTCACGAAATGGGGATATTGCCCGTATGGATGTGATGCTGGCCCCTTTGGCCAAGATGGCCTCGTCCCTCAGGGCCCCACAATGTTTGGGGTCACACAAGGCTCGCGGCATGGGGAGCAGGGTCACACCTTTTAGCAGATGGCAGCTAAAGCCCCCAGCCTCCTCTTCTGATGAAACCACCCCACCCCCTCATTGAACAATGAGCCAGACTCCACGATTCATCTGTGACTTTAATGGCTGGACAAACACATGATTTCCATGACTCCCCATGGACTAGAAGCTGCGAGGACACTCCTCCCAGCCTGAAGCCTGGCCCCCAGGAAGACGCAACCTAATGGGACTGTAGGTGGTCTTGAAACCATGGAGTGAGATTCCCAGAATGGAGATCAGATTCGTCACTTAGTGATTCACTAGTAGAAAAGAGAGATTTCGCACCTAAATTGATACACATCTATCAGCAGCTTGGCTGATTTCAATCACCCAATCGTGACTCCCTCCCTGTGCCCTGCCTCCCACCCCCACCGCCCACCTCTGCCTCCATGCCTGGGTTCCAGGACATTCCGGTTGCTCCTGGCCTCATTTCTGTGAGCTGGCCTGGAAGGTGACCTGGGTCTCTAACATGGAGCAGCTAGTGAGACCAGGATCCCCATGACAGAGCGCTGGAGAGCTGGCCTGTGACTCTGCAAACCTAAACTGCCTGGGTCTGGGGCAGAGAAAGGGAGTGAGAAAGCACACCTGTGGCCAGGTGAACCTGGAAGTAGGTCCACACACACCACACACACACACAACTAACAAACCTGAGAAGGAAAAAAAAAAAGGAAAAAAGATCAGGGAATGGGCCACCAAGGAGCTCTAGTCCCCAGTTCATGAGGTGTATCTGTCCATCACACAGAGAGGGTCCGGTGCAGAGGGGCAGAATCAGAGTTAGGAGGGCCGGTTCTCTCCATACTGGAGGGTGAACTCTTCCGCCTTCTTGTAGAACAGCTCCGGGTCCTGTGTCAGTAGGTCAGCAAGCTCCACACGCACGGGCTGCTCCAGATCCGGACTATTCACCAGCTTGCTGAGGGCATCCAAGACTGGGGCGAGGTCAGAACAGAGCATCAGCATGGACAGAAAAATCCTGGGAAGGGGGCGATGGCTGCCCACTCCCAGATGCCCCTGAAACTCCACGCTCACCCCTTCAGGGAGCCCCCAAGGAAGTTCCTCAGCATGACTCCACAACCAAATCAAATGCCCCTCACATTCTTGGTTGATGATCCCCAAAGCCCTAACTGGTTTGATCAGTGGTTTTCCAACTACCGTGTTTCCCTGAAAATAAGACCTAGCCGGAGAAGAAGCCCTAGCATGATTCCTCCAGGATATGGAGGGCACGCACCCTCACATGAGGGTTTTATGACCTGTTTCAGGGAGAAGGGTGCCTTTTCCACAAGCTCCTTCAGCTTGAAATATTCAGTATGCCAATGTGCCATATTTTGGCACCTAAAACCATGCGAGGGCTTATTTTCTGGCTAGGTCTTAGTTTTGGGGAAACAGGATATGTTCCGTGGCTTCAGAGATGCTTCCCCTCACGGGTCGGAGATAAGTGGAGTGCTGAGTCCCACTCCCTTTTTAACAAGAACCACTCCTCTGTTGGTACTGTAAGGATTCCAAATAAACTTTTACTTGGGAAAAAGGGTTCCGAGGTTAAAAACGGGAAACCATGACTGCCCCGTGGCTCTCAATCATTTACAGATGCCTTTGGGAACCTGTGAAGGCAGTGGCCCGTCTCCCCAGGCACGTGCGCACACACACAAACACACAGTTCTGAGTTAAGGGCCTTCACAGGCCCCCTGAAGCTCATCCAGGGACCACTTTGCCTCTCTCCCCCAGGGTCCTTGTTCCCGGGTTAAAAACTCCTGAGCTGCTCCAGAGGCGGATGGATCACGCACACTGATTACACCCAAAGGTTCTACAGCCATACTGTCCAACGTGGTAGCCATTAGCCACGTGTGGGAGTCTATATTTAAATCAACTAAGATTAACTACAATTAGGAGTTGAGTTCCTCAGTTGCATTAGCCACACTTCGAGGGCGCAAGAGCCACATGTGGTTAGTGATCACGGAATTGGACAGTGCAAGTGACAGGACATTCCCATCACAGCAGATAGTTCTGCTGCACGAGCCTCCAGCTGTGCCAAACGCCATCTCAGTGACTTCTTATATGCCCGAGTGTCCCTGTCTATCAAATGGGGCTAATGAGAGCCCTATGTCATGGGGTTGCTGGGGGATCGAGTGACGTTGGTGTCTGAGCTCTTTGCACAATGCTAAAAGTGCTTAGTTGAGTGTATTGTCATTTGGGGGCCAATCTCCTCAACTGTGGTTTAGGGAACTGAGCCCTGGTAAGGAGCGATCCTTCACCAGGGTCCACAGATAGAGCAGCGGGCCTTCCTCTCCCAAGCCCTTCCTTCTACAGCCCAGCTGCTTCTCTCTCCCATGAACCAGGCACCATTGCTCTGTCATCCCTGCTCAGGTGGAAAAACAGAGGCAGGAGCAGGTTAACCAGCCCAGGATCTCAGGAGGCATCCCTTCCATCTGACAACAGGCTCAGCTGAGACCCACAATTTTTATCTCCCCTCTTCCGGGCTTTTCTAACTCAAACTCAGCCCGGTAGCCCCCATCCAGCATCAGCCCCTCCTTTTAGGCAAGGCCCAGCCCCACCTTGGTAGGTCCTGTAGTGCGGCTCCCAGTTGTTCTTGCTGATGATGGGCAGGCAAACCTGGCCGTCACTGTCCACGTTGGGGTGGTAGATCTTGGTTGTGAACGTCACCGTGGGGGGCTTTAGTGGGTAGTCCCCGGGGAAGCTGATGCACAGGTTGAAGGCCTTGAGGTTGTAGGGCGGCTTCTCCTGTACAACAGAAGGGTCAAGCTCTGTTCTGAGGCAGGGCTGCTCTGAAAAGAGGGTCCTCCTCCTCGGGCCTTGGTCTGGATTCCCCTCCCTGCCCTCAGCCTGGGGTCCAGGCATCCTCTGCTCCACTCATCGGAGGAATCATGAATGGGAACAGATGACACCTGCTTTCATTTGGCAACTGGGCCATGGATCTGTGGAAGGCTGGAATCGCAAAAGAACACTATCCTGGGAGTCACAAAAGTCAGATCCAGGCTTTTGCGGTACGACCATGGGCCAGCACCTCTCATCTCTCGGCCTCAGTTTCCTCATCTGAAAAATGGGTCAAGTTTGACTAGGTGAGCTGTAAGGACCATCTCAGCTATTTTTTTACCTTGTTAATTTTTTTTTCCAGTTTTGTTGAAACATAAATGACATACGTCACCGTGTAAGTGTAAGGCATACAGCATGATGGTTTCAGTTACATGTATAGTAATGCCTTGGTTTGCGAGCATAATTTGTTCCGGAAATAAACTACTCGTATTGCAAGACATCGCGCATTTACCACGTTAAAATGTATTAGAAATGTTTGCTCATCTTGCGGAACACTCGCAAACCAAGTTACTTGCAATCCAAGGTTTTACTGTATTGTGAAATAATCACCACAGCAGGCTCAGTTAACGCCCGTCTCCTCGTACAGATCCAATAAAAAAAGAAAAGAAAAAAGGAAAAAAAAGTCCTCCTTGTGATGAGAACTCTTAGGATTTACTCTTGTAACAATTTTGCTACATATCATGCATCCCTAGTACTTAATTATCTTATAACTGGAATTTCGTATCTTTTTTTCCTATTTTTAAAAAAATTTTCAATTACAGCTGACATTCAATATTATTTATATTAGTTTCAAGAGTGCCGTATATCGGGCCGGCCGAGTGGCGCATTGGTTAGGAGCTGGCTTGGGACGCCAGCTCTGAGCAGCAGGGCTCCGGTTCGGATCCCATATGGGGACCAGTGACACTGCCCTCTACAGCTAAGATGGTGAACAACAGCTCAACCTGGAGCTGGGCTGCCATGAGTCACCGGCGACGGCGTAGGCTGCAGCCCCTGCTGCAGTGGGCTGTCGTAAGCTACCACGTGTGACCAGCAGCCAGCATGAGTGGCCGGCAGCCGGTGTGAGCTGCCAAGAAAAAAAAAAGAGTACCACATGGTGGTTAGACATTTGGACCTTTGTATCTTTAGATTACCTTCTTCATTTCCCCCCTCTCCCAACCCTCTGCCTCTGGAAACCAGAAGTCTGATGTCTTTTTCTAGGAGCTTTTGTTCTGTTTTCTTTTGTTTCAGGTTCCACATATAAGTGAGATCATACAGTATTAGTCTTTCTTGGTCTGCCTTCAAGGTCCACCCATGTTGTCACAAATGTCATCTCAGCTTTAATGTCTTCCTGAGAATTATGGAAGAGGAGGACAGACATCCTCTGTTGGGAGCTGTTAGCAACTGCAGCAGAACATAATTATTGGGGGTGAGGAATGGAGAAAATGAGGAAATCCTAAGAGCTCAGGGGATTGGGAATGTAAAGTGGTGCAGCCGCTGTGGAAAACCATATGGTGGTTCCTCAAAAAATTAAACACAGTATTAGAATATGATCCAGCAATTCCACTTCTGGGTATCTACCCAAAAGAATTGAAAGCAGGGTCTTAAGGAGGTATTTATACACCCATGTTCATAGCAGCATTATTCACAATGGCCAAAAGGTGTGAACAACCCAAATGTCCATTGACAAAGGAATGCATAAGCACAATGTGGCATATACATACAGCAGAATATCATTTAGCTTTGAAAAGGAATGAAATTCTGACACATGCCACAACACGGACAAACTCTGAAGATATTATGCTACGTGGAATAAGCTAGACAAAAAAGAAAAAATTTTCTATGATTCTGCTTATGTGAGGTACCTAGAACAGTCAAATTCATAGACAGAAAATAGAAGATTAGTTTCCAGGGACTGGAGGAGAGGAAGAATGGGGAGTGAGTGTTTAAGGGGGACAGTTTCAGTTCAGGAAGATGAAAAAGCTCTAAAGATGAAGGGTGGTGATGGCTGCACAACAATGTGGATGTACTTAGTGCCACTGAACCGTACATTTAAAAATGGTTGGGCCGGCCAAGTGGCAAGTTGGTTAAGAGCTGGCTTGGGACACCAGCTCTAAGCAGCAAGGCCCCGGATTGGATCCCACATGAGGGCCAGTGACACTGCCCTCTACAGCTAAGATGGTGAACAATAGCTCGACCTGGAGCTAGGCTGCCATGAGTTGCTGGCAACGGCGTAGGCTGCAGCCCCTGCGGTAGTGGGTTGCCATGGGCTACCGTGTGTGGCCGGCAGCCAGAGTGAGCGGCCAGCAGCCGCTGTGAGCGGCCATCCAGAGGCCGGCGACAGATCTGCCTCGCCCGGGAAGAGCACAATGATAATACCAACATGGGCCAGTGAAGCGACATCCTCCACAACGAGACTGAAGAACAAAAGGACAGCAACTTGTCTGTTCCTGTTCCCCTGATTCCCCAGCACTATTCCCCTCCCCCAATTCCCCAATAAAAACTTAAAAAAAAAATGCTTAAGGGCTGCCGTGAGCTACATGAGCAGCCAGCAGCCAGCGAGAGCTGCTGTGAGCCACCATGAGCAGCCGACCAATGACCGGCGACCAGTTGCCTCACCCGGGAAAAGTGCAATGATCATACCAACATGGGCCAGTGAAGCGACGTCCTCCACAACTAGACTGAAGAACAAAACAGCAATTTGTCTGGGCCGGCTGAGTGGCGTGTTGGTTAAGAGCTGGGTTGGGACACCAAAGGACCCGGTTCGGATCCCACATATGAGGGCCAGTGACACTACCCTCTACAGCTAAGATGCTGAACAACAGCTCAACCTGGAGCTAGGTTGCCACATAGGCTGCAGCCCCTGCTGCAGTGGGTTGCCATGGGCTACCGTGTGTAGCCGCAGTGAGCAGCCCTCAAGCTGCCATGAGCGGCAATCCAGAAGCCAGTGACCGATCTGCCTCACCTGGGAAGAGCGTAATGATAATAACGTAGGCCAGTGAAGCGAAGTCCTCCACAACTAGACTGAAGAACAAAAGGACAGCAACCTGTCTGTTCCCCTTCCCCCAATTCCCCAGCGCTGTTCCCATCCCCCAATTTCCCAAAAAAAATCTAAAAAAAAAAAAAAAAAAGGTTAAGATGGGAGCCGGCTGAGTGGCTCAGTTGGTTAAGAGTTAGCTTAAGAGCACGGGCTCTGAGCAACAGGGCCAACGGTTTGATTCCCACATGGGCCAGTGACGCTGCGACCGAACTGAGCTTTCACTGAACTGCCAACAGGTGGCAGGATGGCTCAGCTGGTGTAACAACAAGATTGCCTGTTCGATGGGGGGCTACGCCCATCCGCAACTAAGACTGAACTTGGCACCTTGAGCTGAGCTGCTGCCCAGATGGCTCAGTGGATAGGGCGTGCGCTCTTAACAACATGGCTGCTGGCTCGACTCCCGCATGGGATGGTGGCTACGCCCACCCACAACTAAGACTGAACACAGCACCTTGAGCTTAGAGGACGCGAGCTGCTGATGGGCAGCCAGATGGCAACTGGTGCCCTCCACAACGAAGACTGAAGAACAACTTGGCTGGTCTCCTTCCCCAATTCCCCAACACTGTTCCCCTCCCCCAATTCCCCAATAAAATCTTCTAAAAAAAAATGGTTAAGATGGTAAATACTGTTACGTGTATTTTACCATGATTTAAATAAATAAATAAATAAATAACTCAGGAGCTGGCATGACCAAGGGTTGGGGGCTGCCAGGACCCAGCAGGAAATCCTCCAAACTTTGAGCACCTACTCCGTGCTGCCCTGTGCTAAGGGTGTGACACACAGCCCATGTAGCTGTGTGGTTACAGGGATTACAGGGACTCCGGAGCCACCTTTCCTGAGTGTGACTCTTGGCCCTGCCACTCACTAGCTGTGTGACCTTGGGCAAGTAACCTAAACTCTCTGTACTCTAACATGGAAATAATAATAGACTTCTTCATGAGACTTATGTGTGGATTAAATGAGTTAACTTACGCTAAGGGCGTAGAACAGGGCCTGGCACACAGCAAGCACCACGTAGATGTTAGCTATTACCTACGATAAGTATTAGGAAAACTCACAACTATCAGCATCTTCATTTTCAGATGAGGAAACTCAAGTTCAATGTATACAAGTGACGTGCCCAGGGCCACAGGGGCAGTGCTGGGATAGGAACCCAGCGCTGTTGACTTTACACCTCCACACATGAGCACTACACTACACCCCTAGAAGAAAGGAGCCCCAGAAATTGGGGGACCCCAGAACAGAGCACAGTGGCCTCCAGGCTGGTTCCAAAGCTCCAGACCCTTTCAGAACCTTTGTTACTGAGAAGACAGGAAAACGACAGCCAGAATGACATGTATTTAAGCAGAGTCAAGGTTTTAAGAGAGCGCCTGCTCCTTAGCAGAAGGCAAAACAGAAACCATCGTGGTGTTGGATGTGTCTGAAATAAGAGATAGGGCAATTACGGAGAAGATAAAGAAAACATTTCACCTTCTTGTCCTCAGTAACAAGAAGGGGCTGGGACCTGGGAAGCAGAGACAAGGCCAACGGTGTAGCCTCAGGGAAGGCTAAAAGACTTCTGCATCTTATCTGTGAGCTTTGAAATCTGTCTGAACAGCACTACTCTACTCCAATGTAATTAAGCACTCATATCATTGGAGAATTCCCTCCTCAAGAAAATAATGTTCAGTTTAGGGCTCTCATTTTTGTGTCCGTTTTCTCTGAGCCCTTCAGGATATTGGATGAAATATGCTATATTTTAACAACCTTTTTTTTTTAATTTATCAAATCTTTATCTTCTGATAGCATAAACACAATAGAATCTTACATAACAAATTTCCTTTCCGAGTAGTCCATTTCCTCGCTTTCTATTTGTGGCCCTGAAGGTATTCAAATTAGCACTGAGTACAGCTAGCTGTACTTGGCTGAGGACTATTCTGCAATATTAAACAATTCATATCCCTCTTAAATTTGTGAATACGTAGGTCTAGGTGCAATGTGTGTAGCATAATTCCAATGGACATTGAATGCTAGAACTGCAAATGGTTTTATTTTTATAAATATATGTCATAAGATGCAATCAAATGACAACTCAGCTCCAGTAAAATAATTGTAATTTTAAAATTTGATATTTATTATTTATATTTTGCATTTTTAATTTTTTATTTTGAATATTTAAGTAACTTTTTTTGAAAACACGATTATTTTGACAACCTTTTACCGATGACTCATGTGTTCAAGATATCAGCATCGTTGAGGGTCTTGATATAACAAATGTCTGGATAACGCTTTGAGGTTAGCATAATTTGGGAAACTACTCTTTATCCTCTACCAACTGTGGGAAAAAGGAAGTTTATCCTTATCCCTTGACAAAGATCCAAGAGATTTTTTCTCTCTTTCTTTTTGAATGCTATTTGTCTGCTGAAGCTTCTGTGGTGGGCTTGGCAGCTCTGAGTTTGAGGAAGGAATCTCCGGCTAAGTCCAAAAGTCTTTTAGTTTTTCCGTCAGCCGGCCTCAGCCTCAGAAACAATCACTCCAGAGAGAGACCCCCTCTGCCCATGACAGAGGCAGTAAAAAAAAAAAAAAAAGGGCTCTAAAGCATGGAAAATAATACCCAGGCCTAACCCTCCCTGCCCAGGCCCCTGGCCTCAGTCACCTCAACCCAAAGCCATCATCCCGGGGACACTCACGGGCAGGAAGAGTACACGCCACACCAGGACGTTGGCGTCATCGCTGTCCAGGTTCTGCAGGTACCGTGGAAGCTTCTCCTGCAGCTCCTCCAGCTCCTGCGGGGGCACAGTGAGGGGCAGCTGGCTAGTCTCCCCGACTTCAGCCTCCGCCCCCTGCCCCAGCACAAGCTGTGCCAAGTCCCAAACAGGACACCCCAGGAGACAGAAGCTGGCAAAGTCAGAGCCCCATTTCTGGAGCACTCAGTATGTGTCAGGTCTGGTGGCAGTGCTGTGACTTCTCCGACGCTCACCTCAGCACAGCTCTGGGGGTACGGGGTGGATGGAAGATGAAGGTCACTGCTTCCACGTGTTACAACCTGGAAGTCAACTCACCTGGGCGCCTTTTCTCTTGAAACTAAGGTACTTAACCTCTGTCCTCTAGTCCTTTTCCTAGAGTCACAAGGTCCTAGTACGCTCCCTCTTTCCCTTCCTCTCTTCCTTCCATAGCATCCACTGAGTGTCCAGCATGACGACATGCCCTTCCAGTGCTCATGGCAGCAGAGACACCAGCCCATGTCTGTCAGGCTCCTTCAGTCCAGGGCCGGGGAAGGGAAATGACTTAGATGCACCACAGCAAAGCAGAACTCTATACGCCAAGCAGAGAAACAAGGGGACAGGAGGGACCCGCCTTCCTAGAAATGTGGCCCAATCACCTGGACATCACTGAATTCTCCCATCAGCCCTTTCCTGAGCATCCTATTGGACACTTGACTAAGGCAGGGCCCGGAATGTGATTATGTGGACAATGTGTGGAGACATAATGGGGAAGGAAAGGAGAAGGCAGCAAGAAGGCTTTACGGAAGGCGACACTGAGCTGGGCCGTGCGGAATAAATGGAGCCCATCATGCAGAAATGGGGAGAGGAACCAAGGCAAAGGGCCCAGTCAGAGCAAATGTGTGTAAGTGTGTCCCATGCAAGATTTGTAGTTATTACAGGAAAAGGGTCCCATGGTCAAGTACACTGGGAAACACTAAGCTGAACAGGTTTCTTTATTGCAGGACTTCCCAAAGTTTTTAATATGCTATTGCATACATCGTGAATCTCCAAGACCTGAGTCCACAGCATGTGGTGCTTCTCAAATGTATTTGACCAAGGAGCCCTTCCGGGGTCCATCCTGTGGGATGACAGACCTTTTTTTTGGGGGGGGGAGAAGGGAGGGAGACAATTATAAGATTAAAGATTAAAAGACATTCAAAGGCAAGTCTTATCCTCTGAAACACCAAATAGGTGTAAACCAGTGGTTCTCTACTGGGGGCAATTTTACACACACACACACACACACACACACACACACACATCCCAGGGAACACTTGGCAATATCTACAACCATTTTTGATTGTCACAAATGGGGGAGTGCCATTAGCATCTAGTGGGTAGAGGCCAGGGATGCTCATAAACATCCTACAACAAATTATCTGGCCCAAAATGTCAACGGTAATGAGGCTGAGGGACCCTGGTGTAAACCAAGGCAGAGACAAAACTTCCCACAGCCTGTCCACAGTTGGGGAGGGGTCCTTTAATACTCTGGACCACCTACATTTTCTCTATGGCCCCACATATAAACACACCCCATCCCCCAGTTCCTAGCTTTCAGCCCATACTCCGTCTCTATTCATACCAACAAACTGCTTCTTGCGCCTTCTGTCCAGAGTATGTATATTCTATGACGCTCATTTATCTTTTTTTCCCCCCCAATTACAGTTGACATTCAATACTATGTTAGTTTCAGGTGCACAGCACAGTGGTTAGACATCGCCCTCATTTATCTTTACCCCAAACTATTGGGTTGTCAGAAAAGTCATGACGTATTTTTTTCTAAGTTTTTCATTGCAAAAATGTGTCATGACTTTTCCGACAACCCAACAGAAGCATCTGCTACTTCAAGTCCTAGTTCCAATATCATCTGTGTGTCTTTGGTAAGAATAAAGGCCCGGGTTGAATGGCGAAGCTGTGGGGCGGACATTGCCTGATTTTACAGTAACTGGGAACACTTGGACTTGATGAGTTATAGGTGTGTTCTGCCAAAACTTTCCCAAACCCTGAGGATGTTGAAACCCCAGTGAGGACACACAGTTCCCTCCTGAGGCCTGTGAGGAAATCGCCTGACTCAGAGGAACCGAAAATGAAAGTAGAGAGGCCACTGAAAGGACCTGCCAGTTGGAGGCCCACTGACCTGGGCTCAAATACCAGCCCCCTCACTCCCTACTGGGTGACCACGACATCTAAGTCATTCTCTCAGAGCCTCAATTTCCTCATCTGTAAAATGGGGATATATGACTTATCTCACAGAGCTGCTGTGAGAGTAAGATGAAATAACTAATGTCAATTGCTTGGCATTTAATTGTGCCAGTAGGATAAATACTACCAAACACTGGCTCCTAGCTCTTTCCAATTTGGCTGGAAAGACCCCCTGCCCTGTTGTGCTGCCAGCCTCCAGTTCTAGGCTGCGCCTGCTCTGGGTGCCCCAGTCTGGGACCATCTTCTTCTCAGCGGCTGAGACAGCAGGCACTCCCTTTTACGCCCCTCACTCTGTCCCCTGCACCCTGCACATTGGAGGGGCACTTCTGAGAGACTCAAAGTCTGGGCGGGTGTCGGACCCACTTCACTGGATTGCTCTTCCTTTCCCATCTATCTCCATCTGCCCAGTATACCCCAACCCTGCAAACGCCCTGGGTTTTCCCACCTCCTGGGGGAAATCCTCCCCTCCCTATCCTTCTAAACCTCACTTCAAGTTGTGTCCCTATTTGGAAAGACAGCGCAACAGAGGGCAGGATTTTTGCTCATCTCTGCCTAGAATAGGAACCAGCACACAGTAGGCATTCAACACTTGTAGAACGAACGAATGCACAGCACCTACTCCAGGACACCTTCCAGGTCTGCCTCGGCAGCTTTTCCTCCCAGGAACACGCGGGGAACTTTGCTCCTGCCTCCTACTCAGCATCCAGACTTCTCCGGACTCTAGTAACGTAGGTTACCACACAAATTAAAGTGTGGGTCCTAGGCTATTCCAAAGCAAGGACCTTGTCTGGTTATCTCTGCTCATAACCCAGCCCACCCCACCCCCAGCAGAGAGCCTGGCTCCTGGAACCCTTGGGCACTTGAGACGCAAGCAATTGCTATCACAGGTTTCTGGCTGGAGAAAAGAAACTGAAACCAGTTTGCGGGAGCAGGCTCATTCCCATCCCCAGCACAGCTCAGGGAGCCAGTGACACCCCCGCCAGATATGCTCTCGCTCCCCAAAACTCCAGCTCTGGCTCCTCTGGAAGACCCACTCCTCCTCTGGGAGGGGGCGGGGATGACAGGGTTCAGCCAGCCCCGCAACCCGGACAAACAAATGCGCAAGCAGAGCCCGGGAGGGATGGGAAGGCGGAGGGAGTGGGAAGGGCGAGGGGGCCGGGAGAAAGGGGTCATCCACACAGTTACCTTAGCCACCCGCTTGCTCGCCGTCATCTCGGGATGGAGTGTGCGACCCGGCGATTCCAGCGAGACTGTGCACCTGCCTGCGGCTTGGTGGCGCCCCGCCCCCGGGTCCCCACCTCCGGGAGCCCCGCCCGCGCCCCAATCACCAGTGCGCACGTCGGGGCCGTAAGGACCTGCTCCGCGCCTCCTTGACTGACGCTGGGAAGCCGCCGAGGGCAGGAGCCTCCCGGTCCGGCTCGGTCCGCGGCGCAATGGGCTCGGGTCCCCGGAACTCGCGCCCTTTGTCCGAGGACCCGGCTGGCGTAGGAGCGCACGGCGTGGCCAGATCCCCGTATCCCACTGGGGGGCGCTGTGCACCAGGATGTGAGCGCTCGGGGGGCGCGGGCCTGGGGTCCGCCCATCCGGTGGTTGCAGCTCCATCGCCGGACGCCGTGCCTGGGGACCCCAATCTCGCCGCCGCCCCAAACACACAGTCTCCCTACGTCAATACAGGATGCTGGCTATGCAAAGACGGTTCCCGACAGCTCGTTCGGTGGCCTCCACCATCAGTCCGCCGCCCTAAGACTCCCCCTTCCCACCACCACCGAATTCCCGGAGTCCCCTGGACAAGTTATGTCCGGTCTGGGCCCAGTGTCCCATCTCTAAAATTGGGTGGGGACGGCGTAGACTATACGCCCTCCAAGCACTCCTCCCCTGGCAATTTGAGGCCTTTGGTGAGGTCCAGCCTTCGGTGGCCCCACTGCAAGGACGTTTCTCCCAGGCGGCTGCTTGGTGAAGAGCACCGCAAGGAGGCGCTGTTGGACCCATTCGCTCCTGCTTTTAGGGTTTGGGTTCTTCATTAGGTTCAATATTTAGTTAAGTGTCTACTATGTGCGGATTGGGGAAACAGTTGAGGGGCGTTAACATGCATGCACTACTGAGTGTCAGGCACTGACTTTAGGGAACAGCACGATGAGAAAGTGGGCTCCTTGTCCTTCAGGAGGGAAAGAATGCAGCCCCTGCATTTTTAATGCAAAGTGGTAAGCACAGGATATAGGGAACCATCTGATGCTGTGAGAGCCTGGAAGAGGGTCACCTGATGCAGCCTCAGAGAGGGGCAGAAGTTTCCTGGGAAAGAAAAAAGCCAAGCGAACTGCAAAGCATAGTGAGTTAGCTAGACTGAAAACGTGGGATGAGGGTGTTCCCAGAAGACAGAACAGCACGAGCAAAGGTGCAGAGTATGGAAACTGAATGCAGTTCCATAACGTGGAGCAAAGTCTGTCAGCACCTTGCTTTCTCGTACAGAAATCCTGCGTCCCCAAAGTAAATTCAGAGTCATGGATTTAGCCCAGCCCCATCCTGGGATGAATCCTAACCACCCACACAGCTGGGAGGCTCATGTGCATTGCATGGCCTTCATATCCTTACACAATGCAGACCTTTGTGTGTCAGAATGAGACCCAAAGAGACCTGGACTCTTGTTAGTTCCACATCTGCACACCAGTGCCACATGGTTTTGGGTGGGCTGTGAAACCTCCCACCTGCTTCCCAGGGCCACTGCCAGGCTAAGCTCATAGAAGTGGAGGAACCTTGAAAATTGTAATTCCCAGGTATAAATAATCAGGTTTCAATCCCAGCTCGACTATTATTAGCTGAGTAACCTTGAGCAAATTACTCCTCATCTGTAAAATGGGGCTAATATTAGTGGCTGTGAGGAGTAATGAATTAATATTTGGACACTCAGTGACAGTTATAATAATAATATAATATTTGCCTCTGTATGCCTGTAGCATGTCTGAAAGGATACAAGATACTGTGATGGTCTTTGGGGAGGGTAACTAGGTGACGGGGTATGGGAGGGGGAGGAAAACTTTTCACTATAAATCCCCTTTCCTTTAGAATTTTTGAATGATGTGAATAAACTACCTCTTCAAAAATGAATAACATTTTACTTTAACGATATTCTCTCTTTAAAACTGAAAGGTTTTTGCATTAAAATTTATATTCCTGGGTTCTCTAAAAAAAAAAAAAAATGAGACTTGGCAATGACCCGTCATGGCAATGGTTGGCTGGAGCCCACCAGTCAGGGTTGCTCCTTTAGAGCAGGAATGCAGGTTCCGGTTTACCACGGACCTCACATTCCGTTTCTGCGGGCCTGCCTAGCCTCACCTGCTTTTTTCAGCTGCCTAACCCTGTAAGGAACCCCGGCTTTGGAGTCTCTTTGCACTTGCTAACTTCCTGTCTCTCAAACCCTCTCTTTTTTTTTCTTCCCCAGGGTCAGGGGTTTTCATGCCTTATGACGGCTGTGGCCTTTGCAAACAGGGAAGTGTCCCTGGCTGGAAAGTCTGACACTGCCTGGTTCCTGGTCAGGAGCCTTCCAGGGACTTCACAGGGAAAAATTGTCATCTCCCACCCTTAGATGAGGCAGGACTTCCTTTTGGACAGTTCTTGTTATTGCCAGGGGGTCACAGAGACCATCTGAAAAAGGGTAGGGGAAAAAATACTTTTCAGACACCATAAACAATATGGCACCTCAGCTGTGTGTTTATAGACTCCAGTATATACCGTGGGTGCCAAAAAATGTATACAAGTGGACCCTTTGATCAACGTTGCTCAAGCAGCAGTTTGACATAATCAGAAGTGTCTGGATGCTGATGGTAACCACTTTGAGCACCTCTTGTAATTGCAGAAGTCAAACATGACTTCTATTAATCTTTTATTATCAATGTATATTGAGTATTATAATTTTTCTTTTTAAAGATTTTATTGGAGAATTGGGGGAGGGGAACAGACAAGTTGCTGCCCTTTTGTTCTTCAGTCTAGTTGTGGAGGATGTCACTTCACTGGCCCATGTTGGTATTATCATTGCGCTTTTCCCGGGTGAGGCAGTTGCTTGCCGACCATTGGACGGCCGTTCATGGTGGCTCACAGCAGCTCATGGCAGCTACCGGCCGCTCACGCTGACTGCCAACCACTCATGGTAGCTCACAGCAGCCCACTGCACCAGGGGCTGCAGCCTATGCCGTCGACCATGGCCGCCCAGCTCCAGGTCGAGCTGTTGTTCACCATCTTAGCTGTAGAGGGCAGCGTCACTGGCCCGCATGTGGGATCCGAACCAGGGCCCTGCTGCTCAGATCTGGTGTCCTAAGCCAATTCCTAACCAACGCGCCACTCGACCAGCCCCATTGAGTATTACAATTTTAATACAGCTTTCCTTTCTTAAAATGTGTATACATTTTTCTGGCACCTTCTGTACATTTATGTTTGCATGTTAGAGACTAACCTGGAGGGTACTTGAGAGCCTGATGAAATAGTTATCCATTTAGGAGGGGAAAAAAATGTTGCCTACATACAGCACATCTTTTTCAGGCTGTCTGCCTTTCATCATCTTTGAGATATTATTGTATTGTACAACTCTGTAAATTGTAGTAACTGGTAGCATGCAAAATAATTCTAATAGACATGCAAATTCTTTCTGTCCAACAGAGGTTCAATTGACTTCCTTTTCCCCACCCCATGGAAAAACCAGTTTTGCTTTTATTTACATGTTCATTTCAATTCTCTTGATCTACAAATGTGTCTGTTTTCAGGTTCTCTTTGATTCCAGCATCTGCCTGGTTGGTTCCCTGTTGATTTAATGAGTAGAATGAAGTCCTGAACATGTATCCATTTTATATCTGTACGAGAGTCATGATTTTGCCTTTTTCTGAAAATTATCTTTAACGAGTTGTAGACTCTTCTGGAAGGATGCTTAAGAAACTGGTGAGTGGTTTATCCATTCGGTGTGTCTTAGGATGGGGTAGGAAAAAGACTTCCTTTCCACTGTTGTGTACTTTTAAAATTTCCTACGATGTGAATAACTATCCATTCAAAACTATAAACAAATACAATATGTTTTTGAAAGAAAATTAAAAGAGGGAAACAAAAATAGGAAGCATAACCTAGAGGTGAATAACATGGAATTCGGGGTCAATCAGACCTGGATTAAAGCTTGGACATTTTCTAAGTGATTTGGGGCAAGTTACTTAACCTCTCTAAGCTTTAGTTTACCTATAAAATGGAGATAACAATACCTTGTTCCCAAAGTCCTTGTCAGGATTACATGAGATTTTAAGATGCAAAATTTTAGCCCAAGGCCTGACACAGAGTAAGCACTCATTTAAAAACCTGGACCACAATAATATAATAATCAACATGATCATCGTTGTCTCCATCATCAACAAATCCAGCGACCCCCACGTATGGGACTAACCCACTGAAGGGGTGTGTCAAGCATGTTTAGGAGGTACTAAGCCACAATAAATCACAGATTGAGGAAGCTTTTCCTTTTTCAGTCTCTTCTGATCCTTCTTGATTTCTCAAGGACAAAGTGTCAGTTTGGTGCTAGTCAGTCTTACCTAACACGTTAATTTCCCTTTTTTAACAAGGAATGTGGAGGCACAGAAGGAAGGAGGTACAGAGATTTCAGCAGGCGGAATCAGCTAGGACTTAGTGACATCATTCTGTTTTCATGGTGTCTCTTTATTTTTATTATTTTTGCCAGTTAAATTATATTTATTATATAAAGAGACTCTATAACTTGATATGAAAAACAAAGCAACTCCAATAGGTACTATAAAGACAAAGGACATCAACGTTTGATCAAAGAGGAAACACAGCTACTCAAAAAATGCAAATATTTAACCTCACCGACAGTCAAGGAAATGACTGGGATGCCATTGCTTGCTTCTTCAATGCACAACAGCAACTTCTGCTTTTTCTATTTTCTAAATGTACTCAAATGTGCTATTGTTTAATAATAAAAAATTGAGTCATTTAAACACCAAACATAGAAAGTATGAAAATTTCTGCCAGTGTAGAAATCATAAAAAGCATGAAAATGAATCAACACTTTTATGGGCAGCAAGGTGTAGGTCCCTGGAAGCCAATTCCTTTTGTCTTGTTTTCTGAGTTTTATTACGAGATTATCCCTAACGAGAGGGCTGTTCCTGATTTACACTATGACAATCTCCCAAGTATAGGGGCATACATATACATACATGTATATATATGTATCTAAAAATCTGTATGTAAACTTTGTCTTCAGGTCGATTATTATTCCAGGAAAAGACTGCTTCAGAATCACTCACTACAGAAGGACTCTGATTCCATTCGCTGAGAAGGTCCCATTAAGATCTCCCCGTATGGATCTCAACCAGTAAGGTTGGCCTTGGTATTGAAGAGGCTGAAAAATCTACTTTAGTGCTGCCTGCAGGACAGCAGTGTCCCAGGCTTTCTGTAGCTGGCTTCTTAGGGAATCTGCAGTTAGTCCTGTCGTTTAGCTGTAGCCAAAAGGACATTTTCCTGACGTGACACAGCACAGAGTGTATCTCCTGCCTCCCCAGATCGTAGCCTTGAGGCAGATCACACAAAGCTCAGGCGCATCACCAGGGCACCCACCCTAAATCCAATAATCCTGTTAGAATGACTACATTAGGGGACTGAATTTAAAACCCAGTAGCTTTGTTCAGCATATTTCTTTCTTGGCTTTTATAATACCGTAAGTTTTACTGCTAGAAAGGTGGATAACAGCAGAGCCTAAATTTATTGAGCCACAGCAA